TTCATAATCTTTACAAGGAATTTCTTGCAGAACAGTGTTCATGGTGTTGTCTAATGCTTCTGTGTTACTTTCCAACTTTCTCTTCCACCCCTGGTTTTTATACGTTTTATCGATTATTGAATCTTCAAAACTACCTAGACCTGTACATGCTGTACTGTTGTAATCATGATTATCCAATATATAAATTTGTTCTTTTTTTGAAAAAAAATAGTAACGCTCTATTTCAGCTGAGACTACTATAACACAGAGATTGGTCACTATAGATTTGTCGGATTATCTGAGTCTCCGGTAGTTAGCTACGTTATTTTAACGTAGTTTCGTATTCGACCGTAGCAGACGACATATATCACCTATCACTGAGAATACTATAACAGTATCGGATATTATTATTTTTCTTTTAAAAATAATTTAAAAACAAAATTGAATTAATAAAAAAAAAAGAATATAGTTTTATCTTTCAAATGCAGTTATCTCTATTCATATTTAAATTTTTGTTTTTAATCATTAATAATTTGTTAATAGTTTGTTATTATGCGGCCACTCTTGAAAATGTGAATGTGATTAATCTTATCAATCTTACAGTTACATTGTTTTGCTACACGTCCGTTAATTGTATCTAATATACAAATATTTTAACTGTAAAGATAGGTAGTCTCAAAAGCATGGGAGATGAATTTTGTTTCACAGCTGGGTGCCCAAGGTACACGAGGCTCCGTTTATTGCAGTAAACTTTTATTCTATACTTGTAAGGTATTTCACTGCTGAGTGCCCAATAAAAAAGTTTATTGTAGTAAACCTTGTCAAATATCGTCGGTGCACTTGTGGTAGGATTCAGGAGGGTGTGGATGGGGTTTAAAAATAAAATAAAGAATAGAGAACAGAAAATAATAAGTTATTAAGATTTAAAGAATAGAGAAAAATGGCATAGAAATTATAGGAAATAAAGAACCCCCATCCAGACCCTCATTCAGATTATCCAACGTAAATTTTTTTCAAACAAGTTTCAACCCCCCCCCCCCCCCACACTTTTTTTTAAATTTCCGTCTGATAATTAGGTCAAGTTTTTGCAAACAATGTAATAAGCGGCGATCACAGAAGAGAGAAAAAAATTCATTAAAGGTAAATGAGTAATTTCCTTACGTAACAGATCAGCAAAGAGGTTATAACTGCAATGGATACATAAAGCAAACATAAGCCCTACAAATTATATATATGTTCCCAAAATATCGCCGGCATTTTCATTTTTCAATTCACAATGTCCAGTAACATTGATTTTTTATCTTGGGATGATAGTGATCTCAATCTTGATCTTTTACGTGGTGAATATACTGCATCAGATATTGAATCTGAGGATGACTATACGTCCCTGCTGCAAAGACTGCAAAAACTACAAAAACTCCAAAAGAAGCATCAACCGCAAGTACATGTAAATGTAGAACGAAGAAGATTCAAAATTACGTGACTGAATAATCAAATTATCTCTATGTTAACATAAATAGAACCACATTAGTGTAAATTACGATGACATTTTTTCAACACCAGAAATATGTGCCCTCTTTCAAAATCCCAGACAAGAAATTTTGTGCTTCAATACAGAGCCGTAAAGTTTTTGAAAATTTGAATATTGTCTATTGTTAACGTGTCGTATGTTTTAGTTATATCGCTATACTTTTTGTAACCCTAATAATTGAGCAACTCAGATGAAAAGAGTTGTGATTTGCTTTAGTTTTTTTAGCCACAGCAAATATAAATGTGCTTGTTCAATGTTTGGTGACAAACCATGTTAATTGTTGTCGGCATGATGCTTTGTAAATAGGTTCCCTATAACATTTTTTGTTGGGTAACTGCTGACAGATTACCATGTGAAAATTCTGAGAATCCAAAAATAATGCGGAATGTATAAATACGTAGCAATGTCAGATCTAAACAAGAATGTTAAATATGATAGCATATATTGATGTCACCTTTTTGTAAATTCAACTTCGATTCACAACTGCTTGTCAATGGCAAATATTTCATGTACAGTCAGCCTGATTAAACCGAAATGAACTATTTTCAAATTATGTTTAAAGTTTGTTTTTATGTTATGTCGTTACACCAATGTCCCATGCTAGTGGTGGTGATGAGCGCCTAAAAATATTTAACATTGTCACATCCTTTATGTGCCCCTCTCAAGTCAGGAGCCTGTAATTCAGTGGTTGCTGTTGGTTCATGTCCGTCATATTTGAATTTTCGTAAATTGCTTTGTTATTGTAGACACTTCGTTTTCTCTAGTGAATTGTTATATATTTTCCATGTTGGGGACTTTTGAAGCTGACTGCACGGTATAGGTTTTCTCATTGTTGAAGGTAATTACGGTGCATTCCAATAACTTACATCCACTTCATTGAACTTCATTTGGACTAAAGGAGTTGTCTGATGATCATTAGCAAAAATATATAAAAATCTCCTTAAAGTTTGCTTCAGGTGGCTATTCCTTTAATATATAAAGATGTGTGGTTACTTGTTTTTTTTCTTTCATTGAACTGTTATCCAAACTGAGCGTGTTAGTGAATTTCTGCATTTCTGTCTTAGTTTTAATGTATATAATAATAAAAATGTATATTCAAAGACTTAAATATTTATTTCTCCATGTAAGACAAGCATGACAAATTCAATGAAATTAAAAAAAAATACTAAAAAAAGTCATTTTCTCCTGTAGTACTTCTCCCTTCTTCTAATGCGTGATTTCTTTCTGGGGGTATTCCTACAATAAAGAATATATTATAAATAAAAAGAAATAATCTTTGTCAAGTTATAAAATTGCATAGGCAATTCATTAATTTTTAAGACAGAGACTTGAGACTCAGCAGTAATTGACCAATCATGTCAATATGGATCAAAATAGTTAAACTGATAAAGGATGCAGACCAAAGGTGCATGTACTTTTTACATCATGTTTGGGTCAATTATTTAAAAAAAAATACGTCTATTTAGGAACTCATGATGTACTGGTATGTCACATGGTGACACATTTTCATTGCATAATATTATTATACTAGCATGTATAGACTGCATATATATTATCAAGGGAACCAAATATAAATCTAAATTTCTTTCACTAACAATACAAATTCACCTATCAGACCTCATGTTGTGTGTGCAACTTGTCTCGTGTGTTTCTCAGTTCTGCAGCGGGAACTTACTGATACAGAAAAATTGGAATTTCATATAATTACAAATTTTACATCATTACATCGGTTAATTACTAAGGCTTGCACATACATTATCCGGAAAACAGATTGTTCATCTGAATGTAAGTTATGGGTGAGTTGATCATTGACCCTGTCCCACGGACTGGTAATAACTCGAGGTTACTTTCCGGTTTGGTCGGTAAATTCAAGTCTATAACTGCACTTATTTTATTTAAAGTGCTTATAAACCAACATTTATGAACATGTCAAATCTTATATTCACACTTACCGGAACATAACACTCTTTATAAATCCACATTTGTTAATTATTATTTTCTCTTTCGCTGTCAAAAATGGCGGTCGAATCCTTCTTGTCAATCATTGCGAGTCACGTGCCGAGTCACGTGATCGAAGACTTACAATTAATTACTATTTGACTGGTCAATACGGGAAGTGACCAATCTCTGTGTTATAGTAGTCTCAGATTTCAGTCACTGATAAAAACTGACAGTTAAATTCTATTTCTTCAAGATCTGCACATGTAAGGGAACGAATTAAAGACCTTAGAAAACTACATATGCTGTAGACATCTCTATTTAGTTCAACCATTATCGAACTACCATTTTCAATGCACAAACCATAATTGCTTCTGCTATGGGAGTCAAAAACATAAACCCTCTCATCTATTTTTTTCAATGCAATTCCATAATCTAACACCACTAAGATCATATCTACACTAGCTTTGTAACGACTTCTCCCATGACCATAGTGTATAAAAAACAATAGCAGTTGTACACATGTTTCTAATGATAGAAAAGGATAAGAATCAACAAAATTGTCTATGTATCCAGAATATGTCTCTTTTAATGTTAAAGAAAAATATTTTTTCTGATAAAAGAAGTAAGTTGGTAGATCTGTCGGTAGCAAAAGGTTGTGTGCTAAACCTTTGTTTTTAATTGAGTTATAAAGATTATCACCACTAAACAGAACCTTATCTAAAATGTCACTTGACCACTGTTTGACGTCTCCTAATTTTGATAAAGTTAGAAAAACTAGAGAGTTAGCAAGACACTGTTTACCCCGAGAGATTAATATTATAGACAAATATGCTACAAACGGTTTAAAAAAGGTTACTCCAAATCAAATAATTGAAATATAATTACCTTTCTGTGTATAATTGCGTGAATTGATTTTCTCTCGTGTTTCTTCAAGTTCGCTCTTGCCCTCTTGATAAGTGCGCATTCGTGGTATTCATCCGCAACAACAATTTTTCGGTACGTCATTGATATTGAAGATTGTTTGATTAATATACTAATATTTCTAACGACAAAACATTTTCATATTATTACTTTGCATTTAAAAAAAAAAAAATCTGAGTATCCATTGAAAACATGAATTTAAAAGAAGCGATAAGGAATTTTATTTTGCACTATATAATGTCCGCGGGTCTATAATTTTTATAGGTCGGTTATCATTCCAAAACTAATTATATATGCATATATATGCAAATTAGGCGGAAATTTAGGCGATGGCAATACACCCGAGGCCCTCACGGTCCTCTGATGTAAAAACTGCATTTCATGTAGCCTTTATTTCCTCACCTTGAATGGACAGCATTATCAACGGGGTATCTTGTAATGACACTGTTATAACTTCCTAATAATATTCAAGTCATATGAATGTGTAGATATTTACCTATTTTTATGATTTATATATTTGTGTTTTTGTCGATCATATATTTAACTAGTTATTCTAAATAAGGAAACAGAAATTACTCGATTTTTTGTTAAAATAAATATTTGTTTAAACATCTTATGAATATTTCAGATGCACAGTGTACGTTTCCGGCAGACTTGAGAAGTTCTTGGATTAGTGCTGATCGAGGAACATTAACGTTTACAGCCAATACACTTTCTGGCTATTCCATACAGTTGTCTGTCGCAATTAGTTCGGTTGATTTTGAGTGTAAAACCCTGATCAATGATCAGTATTATCTAAGGTAACATGTTAATTATCTACCACCAGCAAATTTTCACGTTTGACTGCATCAAAACGAAAAGGGTCTTGGAGAACAAACAAAGCCAAAGGGACAATAAAAATTATGACTGAGTCGCAAAAACGGACAATATCATGACCCAAAAAGAGGGACAACAAGACAAACTAAATACTACACAGAACTCGAAAAATAAATCAGCACGAATCCCTTCAAAAGCTGTGGGTGAACCCAAGTGCTATAGAAGGGTAAATGCTTTAATAATAACACTTGCCGTGTTCATCATGACTAGAACATAATGTAAGTGGTATATTGTATTTGATAGTGAAGCAAGAACAGACAGTATGATCTAATTGTGTGTGGCAACGACAGATAAACTATATCTATGCCGTTCATTTGTGACATGAGACTCTAACTTCCTACAAGATTTATTCAGTGTTGAAAGACATGATGTCGATAACAAACAAAACCCTTGATCAATACGTTATATCTTGATAACTTCAGTTGACTTGTATATTGTTTTAATAGAAATAAATGATGACGAAATGGGTATACGTTTGTGAAATATCAACCCCATGAACACAATGCTATAAAAAAAACCTAAATGAATTTATAAAACATCTATCGGTCTTCAACATATAGGCACGCGAAGGCAGGTTGTGAAGTGTGAAGACTATCGCAAATCTGCGTTTCATTTTTTAGATATATGAATATATTCTTATTCATTCTCGTCACCAAATATATTACAGGTACAAAGAAGATATGCCAATCACTTGAAATATATCTGCATCAACTATAAAAGATAATTCATATTCAAACATATTCAAAAGGACTAACTCGGTGCTTGTGTATAATCCGTGTAATTTACATAAATTTAGAAGATTGGTCCTACTTTTAACAGACTTTACTTCAGTTTAGTGTAGGAAGTGAACTTGTATATAAATAGGTAAAATAGGTTAAGTTACTGATAACAAACACATGTTTTCTCGTTCCAGAGGTACTACCACTTTTAATGTTTTTGGTGTTACTCGTAGGCCACATATATGTCTTGAGTTTTACAACTTGACTTCTGACAAATATTACTATCATGTAGCAACAGGTGAGTGTATGTGGGGGAAAGGTGGAAAAAGGAGGGGGGTAAACGGAACATGCCTCCAGTTATTCCTGAGGGGGGTTATGTAAGAAGGAGCGTTCACTCTCCTCCTGCAAATATATTTGATGCCAAAACATACATTCATATGAATAGAAACATGTTAAAAATAGTCTATATATAAAGGAGAGTTTCACCAACAAGATATGAACAGTATATGCTTTCAATATATATAATTGTTTCTTGGGCTTAAAATGATGCTTAAAATGATGCTAGACTACTGTTTCGAAAATAATAACATAGAAATACCAATTATAGATATGATGGTGATAAAAAAAAGATAAAAAAAAAAGTGAAAATATATTCTCAGTAAGATTATGCCACGGTGGAGTCTAGTGAAAATGAATCAATGACTGCATGCAATAATCCAAAACGTCACATTTCTGCTTCAATTAAAAATTGTCTCTTTTTTCTTAATTTCAGCTATAGAAGCTACGATCAATGACAGAATTTACGTAGCTGAAGATGTAAACACAGTGACATACAGCGATGTTTGTAACAGACAAACCCCTTTTGAAGTGGGAACCTATGTAATGTTAATAAAGGACGGTATGAATTACAGAAAAAATCTGAAAAAAAAGTTGTGGTATTATTGCCAACAAGACAACTCTCCACAATAGACCAAATGACACAGAAATTAACAACTATAGATCACCGTACGGCCTTCAACAATGAGCAAAATTTGCATATATTATATTTATATAAAAAAAACTGAAAATCTTACTAAACGGCATGTTTTACAGAAAAGATCATTTGCATATAAAAAAAAATATTATATTCATATAAAAAAAACTTAAAATCTTACCAAACGCGCTTCGAATGTTTCTTTTGTGATACGTTCATGTTAAGATTACTTGTTTTGCATAGTTGTTGTCGAGTTCGGTCATTATTTTACGACAACAGTAAAGAACTTAATTACAACCTAAACCGTACCTGTGTTTACAATTTTCTGGCATGCACCTTTTAATTTCTAGCTTAATTTCGTCCAGCGCTGAAATCATTACTGCACAGCTTATCTCAGATGCATATAACCTTTAAAATATCTTAGGTTCGATTGTCGTCGGTTTTAAAACTTATCTAGATAATTTTGATACTTTACGATCTCTAGTGTAATTGAAAAAAAAATAGATACAAATTTTGAATGAATTGTAACAGACCACCAACGATCTGCACTTAAATTCAATGATCAGATATTAAATAAAATGTTTTGTATGTACTTTTTCAGATATTTGCGTAATTTGGACTGCTTAACGAAATGATACCATTTTCGGAATCAAAATTTATATTCAATCTTACGAACCCCAAATTCTTCTGAAAAGAAGAAACTTTTCTTAACTGAGATTACAGTAGTAACGAAGGTGCATTGTGTCACCATTTTGTTTTTGTTTAAACAGGCGCATCGGATGCTAGTTTAGCAGTAAAATGTCCAAGTGATATTTTAAGAAAGTTTGAAAATGTGCAGTTTCATTCGGCTGATGGGACTACTAACTGTTCTGGAAAATTAGACACATGTACTGACAAACTGAAAATGAATTATACATACAACTCATGTGATAACAGTCTGACATTTTCAGGTATATTAGTTTCATATATGGATGAGGGTGCGGGTGGGGGCTCATTTTTGTATTTTCAAATTTTTTATGCCATTTTTCTTTATTTTTTATCTCCCCAATTATTTTCTATAATTCTTTAGATTTTAGCACCCCATTATTCTCTATTCTTTCCCCCCAATATTTCTGTATATTTTGCCCATTATTTTCTATTCTGTAAACCCTAACCGTACCCTCATAGGATATAACAATAAAAAATGACAACGTAGATGTACAAGAAAACGATCGAACAAGGGCTTTACGGAGTCACTTGCATCATTTTAAAATTTGGTTGAAAAAAAACAACAGTAAAGTTATTGAGAAACTTTAAAGCTATTTAAGACACTTTATTATTTAATTCATGATGCTGGAAATTAATATGAATAGCACGAACTAAATGGTTAATGTTTAAAGTGACGTTTTAAAATATTTTATTTTATAAGTAGTAAATGACAGTTATTAACCTAAACATAATATAATTTTTATTTTATTTTAGCTGATGGACTCTGGCGTTGTTTATATTACACAAATTCTGGTAGCACGACCTATCTTGCCGCACTTAATATGGATGCAGCCCTTGTTAATGGTCAGACTTATAGAATGGTTTGCTATGTACGATATTTTATTATGAAAGATGATGTTTAGAAACATTGTCAAACTTTGTTGAACGTCTTTGTTTTTTATTTTCCATTGAAATCCTACCAAAATGTGGTCAACTGGTCTTTTCAAAGAGTGGTGCCGTTTGTCCGTCTGCAGGATGTATAAGCATACAGCTACGTGAGGTCGGAGTGTAGACGTAAAATCCGATACCGCGTGTAGATATACTAGACAATTTTAGTTTCCCGTATATATCCTGTTGCAAGGCAAAACTCCTACCCATTTCCAACATTCCCTTTTCCCACTTCCCACCCTTCACCACGGTAGGCCCTCTTTGCCAAATCTACTAATTGGATTTTTTGTTAATTTGTTGTGAAATTCTTTCCACAAACAAACAACAACCAATGAATTATTATTTGTCATTGATTATAAAAATAAACAGTTTGGTTTGGTTGATTGTGCCCTGTTTTAACAAAGCCATAACTCGGTCTTCTGTTGAATTTTTTTCATATTTTTCATATCAGGTCTGTTCTTTCATCGCTGTTAAAAGGATGCCAAGTATTAAAAATATAAGCATAAGTTGTAGGAATATAACAGTTTGTTAAGGGTACCAAACTGGTTGGAAAACAAGACTCAAAGCGATTAATTCTTTCGACTTTTATTTAATGAAATAAACTTTTAAAAATTTATTTAAATAAAGTTTCACGTTTTAGTTCATTGTAATACGATACGTTAATTTCACAATGCTGTTGATTTACAAAATTGTTTTGTATGTATTTTAACTTCTGTTACCCCAGCCTCCCCTATTAACGTTCATTTTGTTGCGAGTTACCGTTCATTGTTGTAGACAATGTAGTGTGCTTATGTTATGTATTTTATACGAAAAAAATCTATTTATTTTTATGAAAATGTCACAAAAAAATTTCGGTTCCATATCTGTAAATAGTTATCAAAGGTACCAGGCTTATAATTTAATACGCCAGATGTGCGTGTCGTCTACATAAGACTCATCAGTGATGCTCAGATCAAAATAGTTGGAAAGCCAAACAAGTACAAAGTTGAAGAGCATTTATGACCCAAAATTCCAAAAAGTTGTGCCGAATACGGCTTAGGTTATCTATGCCTGGAAAATCTTTAGTATTTCGAATAATTCATACTATTGAAAACAGCAAATTTATAAAAATGACCATATAATTGATATTCATGTCAACACCGAAGTGTAAGTGTTTATATATATTTGAGAACAAAATCGCTAAAAAGTTCACATAAGTATGCAATATCATGGCTAAGAAAAAAACGAATCCTTTCGTGCTCGCTTGCGGTCTTCAGAGTGTGATTTTCATGACATATTACAAAACGTATTAATTTTCACACTAACAGGGCATTTTGTAATTTTGGTCATATACATTGTAGCTTTTCGTGTGTTTCGGTTCCTGATGAAGATAACTCCAGAAAAGCGCTTTGGACGCATAACATTTAAAAAGTGATAATTTGATTTCCTGCTTACAACAGTATCTAGTGAACAAATATTATTAAGATCACGAAGGTTTTTGCCTTTACAACAGTCAAGTCTAAACACGTGAACACGGAAAATACCTTCTATTTGTTATTAAATTTCATTTTATTTTCTCGTATTTTTTTAAATCGATTTCAGACTTTGCGATGGCAAGACGATATATTGAAGGCGACAACATATCATGGATCTTGTTTACCCAATCAAACATCGTCATCGGTTGTTACACCTGGTGTTGTCATGACAATGTCGGATGTTTCAGGTAGGTAAAGAGTTTGTGGTTAAAATATTCAATGATACTCCTAGTATTTGTTCTGGATATCGTTTACGATTTAAAAATTTACACAAGATCTTATATTTCTACATCAGGATGCACTTATCAGATTGTTTTCCCTAAACCCCGTGTGGCACAATCTATGCATAGTGTAACTGTCTGCCAGAGGGGTCCGTAGGTAGCCTGTTGTAGAGCTAAATGTTTGCTCTTTTTTCAATATACCCCGTAGTTTACAGTGGCAGTACACATTTCTCGCCTTTCATTCCGGTCGACCTACCTACGAATTGTTAATTTGTATTCGTCTTTAATGTGCAAGATACAATCCATCCACCAATAAAATTCGCTATGTTAGAATAAAATACTTGTATTATTTCATAAGATATACGTGAACAATGAATTTCAGACTTTTGTTGGCTAAAAATGAGAATGGAAAAATAGTATTCCTGTATACATCCAACTTCTGAAAAAATAATAAGATACCAGTGAGATGACAATCAAATACCAAAAAAAACAATGAACAAAGACGAACAAGGAAATGGCCAAAAGAAAAACTACGGTCTAAAACAGTGCAAAAAGATAAACCAAAGATTGAGCAGTAAGAACGTTACTAAATATTGAGCAGTAAGAACGCTACTAAAGATTGAGCAGTAGGAACGTTACTAAAGATTGAGCAGTAAGAACGTTACTAAAGATTGAGCAGTAAGAACGCTACTAAAGATTGAGCAATAAGAACGCTACTAAAGATTGAGCAGTAAGAACGCTACTAAAGATTGAGCAGTAAGAACGCTACTAAAGATTGAGCAGTAAGAACGCTACTAAAGATTGAGCAGTAAGAACGCTACTAAAGATTGAGCAATAAGAACGCTACTAAAGATTGAGCAATAAGAACGCTACTAAAAATTGGAGCTGGACTGAAGTGATCCAGGAAAGTAAACGGTCCTTGTGCCACTAGTGGTAATCGTCATGTAGTTCATTACAAGTAAAGTTGTATTCGATGATGTCATCAACGGGGAAAGGATGGTTGGACTGTGGAACATGTCTGTGACATCTTTTACACAGATTATTCCTTAATAGTCAGCCAAATTGTGATGGATATGTAAACCTTTTGAAGAAATGACTTCATCTTCAAAATTAAGGTTCTTTGGTTAAGCTCCCTCCTGAACAGCAATCCTCGGTCAATGACATACTAACAGGAACCGAAAGCTTTGAAAGCAATGAAAACAATCTGAAAATGTTGCTGCTGATTAAGAGGGGAATCCCCTTTAAAGCCATTTCATCATTTCTGATTTTTACTCTCCACTTTTACCGTTATATAAAACTACCTCTCCCATTTTTTCAGTCCTTGGTCCACTCCTACAACTTTATGAAACTGTTGTACGTTCAAAATAATGTTTTAAAATGTTTTGTTTTATATATATTCGAATAGTGAACTGTGGTAAGTACATATGCACCTTACAATACTCTACATTTTATGATATATACTTGGCATTTGTTTAAAATTTTTCGTTATACCTTATGTATATTTTACATAATTTACAATATTATCAACTTATCTATTATAGTTTCCAATAATTTATCTAATTCCTCATTTTTCTCCTATGAATGCACAATTAATATTTCTTAGATTTAGTGTCCATTTTAAAACAATTTTCAAAAAAGTCGATTGTGTAATTCTATATGATTTGAATGGAATGTACAGTTTCTGATTTTTCAGGATTTTATCTCATAACCATATAAGTTTCAACTCCTTTCTGATTTCTGATAGTTATCTGCCATTAGTATTTGTATGATGGCACATACTAAGGTTTTAGTAATGCATGTGATTCCGTTTTAAGAAACGGACGTGTATGATAAGGACTCTCAAATCAGTAATTTTCTATTAAAAGGGATACACGTTGCATAAGGCCCTTTTTGCACACTTTATATTAACTCTGATTTTCTCCTTAAGAGTAATGATGACTAAATGTACCATCACATGCCGTTATACGAAATGTTGTAACTGAACTGGCATCCATCATTTCTTTATCTTCAAAACAACAGGCTTTGATCATATTCACTTCAGAGGACCAATAATTCTAGAACCAAAGTGATGAAAATATGGCAATATAGAATTATTACGCGTGACATATCAAGCGAGCAACGAAAATGTAAAATTTTAATATTTCGAGAAAGTAGTTCTTTTAAAATTGTCTTGCTTAAACCAATTATATATACTGCATTTACAGAAAGTGGTAGATTTAGAGAAAAGAAAGCTGTTGAACTTTTGCAAAAAGGTTAAGAAAATGTGACGTAAACGTTGATAGAAACATAAGTAGTACATGCATGGTTGTCTCTTAACATACATATATTAACATTAGTTTGGCATGCATACACAAACTTTTTAAATTTTTTTTTAATCTGGTCCGTAAAACATAGAATATTTAGTGAAACTCAGGCCGAATGAAATGTACAGAAGATTACAGTAATAGCAGTGTCTTTAAAATACTACAATCGTTCGTTGAGATGTCCGAAATTCAGACTTATGAATGGGCTCGATCCATGATTTGTGACTGCGGATAAATCTAGTAAAATATATGATTTTAACAGAAGTAGTGGAGCAATATAAATAAACTTTATCTGTAATGTGAAGGAATTGCATGCGTATATTATAGGAATAGAGCTTATAATATATTATTTCACGCATTCAGATAATATATACCTGCTAAACTATTGCTTTAGTTTTTTCATTGCAGAAATATGTATGCATGTATAATGGATATATTGACTTAGCTAGGTTTATGCAATATATTTTATTATACTTCATGTCAAAATATCAGATTTTGATTGTTTAATATGAGGGAGACAATTCACTCTATCCCATGGCAAATACTCTATTAATTACCCTTCACGGAGACGCTTGATCAAGTTTGCGCTTTATTAAACACGGATGATTGTTATGTACAAGACGCCATATATAGTTTATTACTTTAAATTTGAAATTTAATAGATAGACAGAACATTCAGTATAATAAATTAAATAACACATAGCTGACAGGGTGATAGAGTAGATTGTTACCCCTCGAAAAAACATTGTCAACCTTGGCTTCGCCTCAGTTGACAATTTTTCTCGGGGTAACAATCTGCTCTATCACCCTCTCAGCTATGTGTTATTTATATTGTGTGTAATTTGAGAAACTCTATATGTCTTAGAGGCTATACAAGGATTATGAGCTTTGGTAATGTAAAAAAATATTTTATTCCTTCCTCAAATGCAATAGGGTTGATCAATTCACGTCATGGTTAAAAACTGCCATTTCTGAATATGATATAACAAGAGTAATTTCGAAGTAGGTGTTAACTCGGTTTTGAACAAAAAATATGAATGGTTAGCAGTAAGAACGGGTACCATTATGCGTCAGTACTATTGTAGTAAAAAACAGAAAATTAGAAAAATATGAGTTCAGATCAATCAAAATTAAAAATGTGATCTCAATGTATCATAAGTGAAAGTGTAAATCCATATCCCATGGGTTTTCAATAGAATAACATAATTTCCATTTCAGATCCTGAAGATGGATTTGATTTAGTACCTTTTTATGTTGGAGCCATAGCTCTAGCTCTTCTTATTATTGGTTGTATAGGAGTCTGTGTGAGTTACCGCCACTATAAGAATGCAGACAAGCCAAACAGAGTTCATACTATAAAAGTAAAGGAAATGAATAATATACCCAAACGTGAATCAACTAGTGGAATATTTTCTTATGGTGAGTATATTTTGCATTTTTATTCATATTAAATTTTTATATTTCCCGTAAAAGTTTAAATGTTATCGCATTATTATTAATAAAAATATAAGGACTCCCTCTATTATAAATTGTCCGATGCCTAGTGTACCTGTTATATACTAAACTACATGTATATGCATCCCTAAAATGCGTGGGTAAAAGACGTTGGTTGGAATTTAGTCTCTTCAAAAAACAACATTTAACATTTCAACATTGTTAAAATTGAGGAAAGAGCCAACTATTAATTTGTAGAAAAGCTCTATTTATCTGTGAATGATTTACAAAATACGGAAATTTACATAAGTCAGACTTATAATTTAGAGCACCAGACGCGCGTTTCGTCTACATGAAACTCGAATCAAACTTTGGAGGACCACATCCATAACGAAGCTGAAAGAGGCTTCAAAAACCACAACAAAACTTAAGTTGTTCTAAATCTGACCACAAACGCACTGAGGAAGGAGGAAGTAAACTGTATAAGCTGTGTTGTTGTTGTTTTCTGATTGTTTAAACAAACGCATCACATCTGGTTCTATTTGATTATTCTTCTACATGTTCTAGATATTGAAACTTGACATATATCAAAAACTAGATGATGTACTGTGGGTTATTAACACTGTGTATTAGAGTTGCACAAGCTGTCTCATTTATGTATACCCCCCATTCCTTATATTTTTCACGTCACTGATTTTGCTAACCTCTATTTTTTATTTTGCTATATTTACAGTCTTTACGTAATTTTCCGAAATATGTAATTATAGGTTCAACTTCACTGGATGGAGATGATCATTTTAGAATATCTTCAACTCCTATACAACAGCCAAGGACACGAAAAATAAAACAGAACATTACGTCACATCCTGCAACTCTGTCTCGCGTGTTACAATATTACGGCGTTCCACCAAATAACCACAGAATTCACAACAATGTCAATGTTTATGATGATATACATTATGCATACGTTGATAAAAAACATTTGGATAAAACTCCAAATGTCCAAACGGCGGAAGATTTTTACCGAAACCAGAAAATTTTAGTAGATAAAGGACTACTTCCTAAAAAAGTTCTTCAAAGCAAACCACTAAAACCACAAAAACAAAACGTAGATTTGACAGTGAATCAAAATGTGTCATACGGCAGAAACAACTTTCCTGATGACAGATTGATAAAATTCTCAGAGAGACATAATATTTATGGGGAAGACAGGAAACCAAAAAACACCACAACAGACCCCAGTGTAAATGACGAAGGACCATCTGCCAGAGGAAGAGGAGATATTACAAACACGGTCCATTATTTTAATAGACGAATACCAATGCATTGGAAATAAAAGTATAACAAAACCATAGATTTTCTAATGAAACATATGTGAAATGAAACGCAATACTCGAATGCACTTGAGTGTAGTATATCGAGTTTTTGGCTGTTTTGTCTTTTGTCTTGTTTAGGAACGAAACCCCTTTTAGAGCAAATATCAAAAGCTCGCATTCACCATACTGGTTATATATTTAATTTCAATCAAACTAGCTAACCAATATGGCTACTACAGACTTTAGTCAGTATTTGGCAATAATGTTGAAAGTTTACTGACTGTTGTTTACAGGTGTTTGCGCACCATTGTTGGTTATGCATGTGACCTCTATTTGTCTAGGCTGTATTTCTTTCATTAATATGTGTAGTGAGCATTGAAATCGTCAGCATGCTTTTTTATATTGATAGATATATTTTTCTGGCACATTTTATTTCAATTAGCACAGTGATGCCCAAAACGAGATTATTTATTTTCCCATTGCCTATATTTGGCAAGTTTGTGGAGACCAAGAGTAATCAATAAAGGAATACCGCACTAGAAATTTCCTGTCAAATATGATTTGAACTGATTGCAGCGGCTCTTTTTTGTATATTTACTATAAAAGAGAGGCGAAGATACCAAAGGGACATTCAAACTCACAAGTCGAAAATAAACTGACAACGCCATGGCTAAAAAGAAAGAGACAAGCAACAGTACACAAAACACAACATAGAAAACTAAAGACTGAGCAACACGAACCCCACCAAAAACTGGGGGCGATATCAGGTGCTCCGGAAGGGTGCGCAGATCCTGCTCCACATGTGGCACCCGTCGTGTTGCTCATGTTAGTATAAACCCGGTGATAAGTCTAATTCGGTTGGTCACATTCGGGGAAAAGCTAACGGGATTGTAGTTACGACAATTGGAACATATCCGTTGTCATCTGTGAAACGGATATTCCATAACGGTCAACCAACTCGTGATGGCGTCTGTAAAATTTACGAAGGGACGATTTCAACTTCACCAATTGGAACTCTTGGTTTAATAGCTTGGCAATTTCTGACCTTACTGGTTTGCCAATAAGAACCACTATAAATGATGATGATGAAAATAACTCTGTACACAGTTAGTGCGTTACCACTGTAACAGGAACAAGGAATACCTCGTATTTAAGGACCGGTCAAGTCATATTTGATTATTCTGGTTAGGTAGTATTGAAAAATATGTTTATACGTTTCCTTATAGTCTCCAACAGATCTAAAATGTTTGATATTTTTCTCATTAATTAGCTCTTATTAAAAACCAATTACAGTTTAGCGAGTATATTGTTTGGCCAATCAGAACCAAAGTAACAACACCCTCTAGCTGCAAACTGCAAAACAAGAAATCTTATCATATTTGGTTTCATTTGGTTCAGTTGTGGTAAAGAAAAAAAATCAAGATATTTGTAGACATGAAAATGTAGAAGTACTCCACATGTAATACCCGTATTGTTGCTCATGTAAGTACAAATTCAGTAATAAATCTCATTCGGTGAAGTCACATTCGATATAAAAAGGACAAGGTTGTGGTTACATCAATTGGAACATATATATCCGTCGTCATTTGTGAAATCGATATTACATACAAATCAACCAATTAGTGATGGCGTCAGTAAAATTTTCGAATTGATGACATCAGCAATATCAATCGGAAACGCTGGTTTGATAGCTTTCTTGCAAGCAGCAACCTTCTTTCAAGGATATCATAACAGGAAACATAATTGCTGTTGAATACCGTTTCAACTGGGTGATATCTAATCCGTATGCAGGTGCTACAGAAATGTTGCTACGTAGAAATGGAAAGTTCACCACTGGGAAGCTGAAATCATCTCTTATGTCGTAAAGTTATTATCAATTTCTAGATATAAATTAAAATACGAGGAAGACTTGTCTGTATCTTGTGTATCCTTTATTACAAGTTTGATCGGATAAATACGTTCAACATAGTGTCCAACTTTGAACTATTTAGTGAGAGGACCTCATTTGTATTGCTGAGTGTGAAGTTAAAGGATAATAGTAGCTTATTTTCATTCTTCCCAAGAAACTCCTGTATGAATTCTTCCTCAATTGAATAAAAGAACAAGTTGACAAGAAGAGACATAGTTTGATTTCAGAAGAATGCCGAATGTTTGTTAAAAAAAACACGTGAAGACTGCGAAAGCATGTCGCCAGTGAGTAAAGAAACAGACATAAAGTATTTATCAACCAATTCTTGATGGTGACCGAAGACTTATGTAGTGTCGATTTCAGTCGTATCTTCGTAATAACTCTTTTGGGGCTATGTGTCATTACATCCATGTTAAAGAAGTCCGTATAGTGTGAATATGCACGAGCATAACGAATTAATTGATATATGTTAACGCTATACGATGGGACATACTATATGTTTATATGCTGGAAAATGTTAAGATGGCAATTGGAAAGTGATTTTCATAGATTATATAATATCAAGATTCTGTATGAATTCTTCTTCAAATGGGTACAAGAAATAGTCGGTCGGTAGGGTGCACAATTAGTGTCTATTTGAATATCGACTGTCTGTTGAAATATTAATCCATCAAACTCAACAAATATGGTCTCGATCCAACAGGACCTGCACTTTGATGATATGAGAATCAGTGGATTTGTTGTTGGAATCAGTGTGGTACTTCACAAAGTAAGATAATGCATGACCTGAACAAATAATTTGTATATACGATTCTTATTTTTGAAGTAAAAGCACTGTTTATGAGAAGTTGTCTGTAGTCGATCTTTCAATTGATTATAGAGAACAGTAGTGTAGAACGTAGAAATATCTAATGCTTTAATATCACTGTAAAATTGTCAAGATTGTGATTGAAGATTTCGGAATAGATGTTTGGAATTTGTTTAAATTCACAGCTGATTGACGCCACTTATTGAATATACTTCAATCATAATATTTCTGAAGGCCATCTTTTACTGTAGAAGGAATAGTAGTTAGAATGTTAGACACATATTAACGCATTATAAATCACTACTGATGGAACATATATCATGGAAAATTATGACAGAGCGACATACCTTTTTACTACAGGCACTTGTCCTGAAAAATAATTAAAAAAGAGGGACGAAAGATACCAGAGGGACAGTCAAACTCATAGATCGAAAACAAACTGACAACGCCATGGCCAAAAATAAAAAGACAAACAGACAAATAATAGTACAGATGACACAACATAGAAAACCAAAGACTAAGCAACACGAACCCCACCAAAAACCGGGCGTGATCTCAGGTGCTCCGGAAGGGTAAGCAGAAGCAGATCCTGCTCCACATGTGGCACCCGTCGTGTTGCTTATGTTATTACAAATCCGGTAAATAGTCTAATTCGGTAGGTCACATTCGTGAAAAGGGAAGGGTATTGTAGTTACGACATAAGGAACATATCAGATATCATCTGTGAAACGGTTATTCCATAACGGTCAACCAACTCGTGATGGCGTCCGTAAAATTTACGAAGGGATGATTTCAACTTCACCATTTGGAACTCTTGGTTTTATAGCTTCCTTGTGAGCAGCAATCCTCTATCAAGGAAATCATGATGGAAATACAAGCCCGGGAATATCGTATCAATTGGGAGATATATACTCCGTATGCAGGCGCTGCTTGAATGTTGCTACATAGAAATGGAAAGTTCACAATTGGGAAGCTGAAATCATCTCTTTTGTCGTAAAGTTTTGTTTTCAACCGACCCTCATTGTCAATTTCTAGATGTAAGTCAAGATATGAGGCAGACTTAACTGTATCTGTAGTATCCTTTATCTCTAGTTCGATGGGATAGATTCGTTCAACATAGTCACCAAATTTTGTATTATTTAGTGAGAGAACATCATCTATATAGCGGAACGTAAAGTTAAAGGATATTGCTAACTTCTTATCTTTCTTCCTAAGAAGTTCCTGTATGGACTCAGCCTCATAATAATAAAGAAACAAGTCGGCAAGAAGAGGGGCACAATTGGTTCCCATTGGAATTCCGACAGTTTGTTGAAAAACACGTCCTCCAAACGTAACAAATATGTTGTCAATCAAGAAATCAAGCATCTTTATAATGTCAGTTTCAGAGAATTTTTTTGTTTGAATCAGAGTGATTCTTTACAAAGTAGGATTTATTCCTCCCCAAGACAAGATACTTGTATCTACGTTCGCCATTCTTTTTAATGAAACAAAGTAATACCAACTCTTTCAATTTGTCTTTTAGTTTGGAATGGGGAATACTAGTGTAAAGTGTAGAAAAGTCAAATGTTTTAATACTATTGCAAGATGAGAGAGTCTTAGATTGTATGTACTCTAAAAGATCATTCGAATTTTTTAGTATCCACATCTGATTCACGCCACTTCTAGAATAGGCAGTTTCACAATAACTTTGGAGCCCGGCTTTGACTGCTGATAAAATAGATGTTAATAATTTAGAAAGAGGTTTCGTGGAGCACTTGGAAGACCCAGCAATATACCGTTGTTTGTAAGGACACTTAAGTAGTTTAGGTATCCGATACAGTGTTGGAAGAATCAGTTCTTCATCTTTAATATATACGAAATAATTTACGATTTTCCTTTTTGGAAGGACTGCTACGAATGATTCCAACAACAGAAATGAACGTGTCATACCTCATTTTGTAGATAATTCAATGTAGATTTACGGCATAAAAAGTTTCAGTGGGATAGATAACCGTGGGATTGAAATATAACGAAAATTCGCGACCGAGTGCAATTTCTCAAAAATACAAGTTGGGTACCTTGTGTTATGTTATGATATATATGAAAAAAATTATTCAGAGAGAAGTGCCTGTGCTTTCATCAATCTAATATGATCTTTGAGTAGTTTTAGGTCATACAGCCCACAACGCCTCTACGTATTTATATATCCCTGGCTTTCTAATGTTTCGGTAGTTTTAGGTCATACAGCCCACAACACATCTACGTATTTATACATCCCTGGCTTTCTAATGTTTGGGTAATTTTATGTCATACAGCCCACAACACCTCTAAGTATTTATACATCCCTGGCTTTCTAATGTTTGGGTAATTTTATGTCATACAGCCCACAACACCTCTACGTATTTATACATCCCTGGCTTTCTAATGTTTGGGTAGTTTTAGGTCATACAGCCCACAACACCTCTACGTATTTATACATCCCTGGCTTTCTAATGTTTGGGTAGTTTTAGGTCATACAGCCCACACCTCCTCTACGTATTTACTAGTATACATCCCTGGCTTTCTAATGTTTGGGTAGTTTTAGGTCATACAGCCCACAACACCTCTACGTATTTATACATCCCTGGCTTTCTAATGTTTGGGTAGTTTTAGGTCATACAGCCCACAACACCTCTAAGAATTTATACATCCCTGGCTTTCTAATGTGTGGGTAGTTTTAGGTCATACATCCCACAACACTACGTATTTATACATCCCTGGCTTTCTAATGTTTGAGTAGTTTTAGGTTATACAGCCCACAACACCTCTACGTATTTATACATCCCTGCCTTTCTAATGTTTGGGTAGTTTTAGGTTATACAGCCCACAACACCTCTACGTATTTATACATCCCATTACACCTCAACTTATTTATACATCCCTGGCTTTCTAATGTTTGGGTAGTTTTAGGTCATACAGCCCACAACACCTCAACGTATTTATACATCCCTGGCTTTCTAATGTTTGGGTTTGAGTGTTCCTGATAAAGGTAAAACCAGAAAACGACTTCTGACGCACGAAATTTATGAGGTGTTAATTTCATTTACTAGCACCAGGTTGATACCACTGCAGATGAACTGTTAGTTCACGTGGTTAGCATCAGCTCGGTAGTCAGTACCTTGGTACTGACATGATTTATAACATTTTTTCTCTAAAACTCACCGTTTGTTAAAGATTTACTGAGAAACTAAGGTTCCAACTCCCTCAGGCAAAGTTGATTTGTGATGAATTTGGCTATTCTGCTTATTTTTATATCATTCCATGGCTTTTAACTTTTAGGGTGTGAGCGTTCCAGAAAATCTTTGGATGAACAAAATTTGTAAGGTGGTATTTTTACTATAACATACATTGTATGGGATTAACAATTGATAGTGTTATGTTATGTTAAGATTTAATGTATACGTTTATTTATAACATTAATATCAATGGCATTATATTCATTGTTACATGTAGATGACATAACAAAAATAAGAATAAAATGCTCCGCTGGGCGCAGCTTGATACGACCGCAGAGGTCGAACCCTGAACAATTGGGGCAAGTATGGACAAAACATTCAAGCTTGATACAGCTCTGAATTTGGATTGTGATTAAATATAAAAAATGCTTGTTTTTTGGCCCCAAATTCCTAAACTTTTAGGGCAATTACCCCCAAACTCAAACCCAGCTTTCCCTTTGTGATATGGAACCTTGTAGTACAATTTCAGAAAGATCCATACACTTACACACAAGTTATTGTCCTGAAACAAGAAAAATGCTTGTTTTTTGCCTCTTTTTCCTACAATTTTGAGGCAATTACCCCCATAATCAATCCCAGTCTTCCCTTTGAGGTATGGTACCTTGCAGTACAATTTCAGAGAGATCCATACACTTGAACACAAGTTATTGTCTGGAAACTAGAAAAATGCTTATTTTTTGCCCCTTGTTCCTAAACGTTTTGGGTAATTACCCCCAAACTCAATTCCAGCTTTCCCTTTGTGATATGGAACCTTGTAGTACAATTTCAGAAAGATCCATACACTTACACACAAGTTATTGTCATGAAACTAGAAAAATGTTTGTTTTTTTCCCCTTTTTTGGCCCCTAATTCCTAAAATAAAATTTTGAGGCAATTATCCCCTAAATCAATACCAGCATTCCCTTTGTGATATGGAACCTTGTGGTACAATGTCAGAGAGATCCATACACTAACACACAAGTTATGTCTGGATGTTACAAAAATGCTTATTTTTGGCCCCCAATTCCTTAACTGTTGATACCATAACCCCCAAAATCAATCCCAACCTTCCTTTTGTGGTATTGAACCTTATGGTAAAATATCATAGAGAACCATTCACTTAAACTAAAGTTAGAGTGAGAAAACCAATGTGTTTTCGGACGACGATGACGACGCCAACGTCATACCAATATACGATGCGGTCAAAAAAAAAAATTTGAAACCAATTCAGGAAAGATTTTGCCAAGAAAGCCCTATGCACAGCTGATCTGGAATGAGGGATGATTGAAATAATTGTACCAAAGTTTGATAGTATTTTCCGAAATCTTTTTATTACATCGCCGGCCAAGTTTGATGGTGGTTATTGTCATCAACCAAACTTTTCACAAAGGATTGTTTGAAAGAGACACAAGTTTAGGATATAGCAAAATAACAAAATCGAAGTGACAATCTAATTACTCTGTTCTTGTAGCAGTATGGAGAGCATATGTTTTGTAGAAGCCTGGTTTACATTTGCTGAATGACATTCAAGTGTTAATAGAATTCAAAACTAATGGTTAAAGGATTTGAAAACATGACTAAATTCAAGTCAATCATATGTACCAGATGACTTCATCCTACATATCAAGTTAAGGATCCCTGATTTTGAAAAACTAGAGGCTCTAAAGAGCCTGTGTCGCTCACCTTGGTCTATGCGCATATTAAACAAAGGACACAGATGGATTCATGACAGAATTGTGTTTTGGTGATGGTGATGTGTTTGTAGATCTTACTTTACTGAATATTCTTGATACTTACAATTATCTTCATCTATAATGAACTTGGGCCAGTAGTTTCAGTGGAAATTATTTTGTAAAAATTTACAAAATTTATGAAAATTGTTAAAAATTGATTATAAAGGGCAATAACTCCTTAAGGGGTCAATTGATCATTTTGGTCATGTTGAATTATTTGTAGGTCTTACTTTGCTGTACATTATTGCTGTTTACAGTTTATCTCTATCTATAATAATATTCAAGATAATAACCAAAAGCTGAAAAAATTTCTAAAAATTACCAATTCAGGGGCAGCAATCCAACAACGGGTTGCCTGAATGGTCTGAAAATTAAAGGGAAGATAGATCTTGACCTAATGAACAATTCTGTTTTTGAAACATTTGCTCAAAAATGCTTTGGGTTTAGATATATGAGCCAAAAACTGCATTTTACCCTATGTACTATTATTAGCCATGTCGGCCATCTTGGTTCGCGGGCAGGGTCATCAGACACAATTTTTAAACTACATACCCTAATGATGATTGTTTACAACTTTGGTTAAATTCATCTTAGTAGTTTCAGAGGAGAAGATTTTTGTAAAAGATTACAAAAATTTACGAAAAATTGTTAAAAATTGACTATAAAAGGGCAATAACTCCTTAAGGTCATGTTGACTTATTTGTAGAACTTACTTTGCTGAACATTATTGCTGTTTACAGTTTATTCTATCTATAATAATATTCAAGATAATAACCAAATACGGCAAAATTTCCTTAAAATTACTAATTCAGAGGCAGCAACCTAACACCGGGTTGTCCGATTTATCTGAAAATTTCAGAGCAGATAGATCTTGACCTGATAAACATTTTTAACTCATGTCAGATTTGCTCTCCATGCTTTGGTTTCAGAGATATAAGCCAAAATCTACATTTTACCCCTATGTTCTATTTTTAGCCATGTCGGCCATCTTGGTTGGTTTGCCGGGTCATCGGACACATTTTTTGAACTAGATACCCTAATGATGATTGTGGCCAAGTTTGGTTAAATTTGGCCCAGTAGTTTCAGAGGAGAAGATTTTTGTTAAAGTTTACGGACGACGGACGCGGGTTGACGGACGCCAAGTGATGAGAAAAGCTCACTTGGCCCTTTGGGCCAGGTGAGCTAAAAAGAGAGCTCAACAAGGCAATGTTAACCTTTTTTGTCTGTTTGGGTTGCTCACCCAATTTTGTCAATATAATGGAACCATAAACAACTGTCATACAAGTGGGAGGTTTAGCTAGCTATAAAACCAGGTTTATCCCACCATTTTCATTCGAAAATGCCTGTACCAAGTCAGAACTATGGCAGTTGTTTTTTACTTGTTTCATTGATTGATAGCATCTGATTTTGTCTGTTTTTATGGATTTTCCGTTTATGAATTTGCATTGGAGTTCGCTATTTTTGTTATACCTTTTAAGGAGTAAGACTTGTAAAAGGTTATGCATTTACCATATGTGTAGCTGTCATAAGACACCCTTCCCCTAAATTCGCTCTGATATCAATTAAAATTTTACTTAATTTAAATATAAAACACTGAACATAATAATCAATTTAATAATTACTGTATAATATTCATTTATGGTTTCAAAGAACATCTTAAAACAAAAATAATATTATGTCTCAATTCTGAGGTGAAATGTATGTGATGTTCAATGACTTCAAATTAATGTGTAGATGATGTCCAACCTATCATATTTGAAGGGTTTTCATGGAATATAAATACATTTAATAATAATTGGACCAATTGAATTGGTTGACTTCAGGCCTTCCTAATAATTTTGTTCAGAAACAAATTCAGTTATATATATACCGATCTTTATGATAAAAAAAAGAAATAATACAAATGTATTACAATAACCAAATTTCACCATGAGGGGGTGGATAGGGGGTACCCTTCTTCCCCTCATGCCCCCCCTCCTCCCACCTCCCTCAAAAGCTGTCCACCCCCTCCACCATAGTCTTCTGTAATGTTTTTTCAATTGTATTTGTTGAATTTGTCACCAGTTTTCCTTGGAGAAGATTGTAGTTGATATAAAATTTAAAGACAACTTAGCTGATTTTGGAAGGAATCATTGTGACTAAAAAAGTTCTCTCTCAATTTGATAATATGTCAAGCAAGCAATATAGTAATATAAGGTAGTCTGTTAGTATCTCTAACTACATGTGGAACAAGTTTCCCCTTGTCAAAAAATCTTAAAATGAAAAACAAAGTAATTCTGTGATGTCTACATAAATAATGGAAATGGACCATTACATATATGAAATACATAATATTCATTTAAAACATTAGAAAAACTTATAAACATAAAGTATATATGTATGGCACTAGTATCTAATTGTTCATTCTTTCTTTTTTTGCATGATTCTTACGAAGACAGGTACTTAAAGCAAAAATATGCTGACAACTCAACGTGAGCTAGGTAAATCAAATATATTAATGTGCTGATAATCAAAAACATAAAATCTATAAATAATATATAATATTTATTAGTCAGGGGAATTACTTAAATGAGTGATCATAAATCACTGATTCAAGTAACATTTTGTCCAGAAATGTTGGAAGTAAGAGTTGTCTTTCTTTAATAATCACCTATTTAAGTAGTACAAATAAATCACTAGACTAAGTGATTTAATTTTATTGTAGCTTTAAATATACAATACTAATGATCCAGGGACTAATTATGTTGCTAAAATTATCAGAACCAACATGTGTTTATAGCATGACCGGTCATGTCAGGTGATGACCTTGTACTGAATCTGAGATAATGGCATGAAAATCACTTGTTAAAGTATCATACCTCTATTTTCTTCATGTTCTTCCAAAAAATCACTTCTTTAAGTATTATTATTTCAATTAACCCCACTTATTTCAACACCCCCCCAACAGTGAAATTTTGATCGCGAACAGTAAAATTTTATTACATAATCCTTAAATTTTACAGGAAAAATACTCCAACTGTTGGGAAAAATCTGTTAAGAAAGTACTGTAAATTCAGAAATTATTGCGATGTTTTTATTATTGCGAAAAATGCGACAGGGTTATAATCGCAATAATTTAAACTCGCATTTTGAAATTTTTTATATGAATTAAACAAGATTTTTCTCAATATCGCAAAAATTAAAATCACATTTTAGTCTAAAATGACAAAATCGCAATAATAAATGCACGCAATAATTTCTGAATTTACAGTATTAGTTCATTCCAAAAAGCCTTTATTATAGCATTTTTTCAACAAATATAGAATTTACAGCTGAATGATCGCACCAAAGGCATAAACCTTGCTACTTTAAAGAAGCAAAAGTTCATTTTTTTCAATTTAACTAATGTTAAGATATAATCTAAACCTGTATTTTTAAAATTTTGGTAAAACTACAAATTCACAGAATTTCTAATTTGCTACTTTTTAGTACTTAAATGAGTGATTTATAAATCACTTATTTCAATAATTCCCCTGACTGTTTATGCATATCATTTAATATCAATGAAAATGTAGAGTTACAATACATGTACATTGGTTCTAAAATAAATGATTAAAAGTAAGCTGCCAGTTACTGACAACTAAAAGTGTTATTAACAAAAATTTCTATAAATTGGAAATTGACCTGAATATGTAACATATACACATACAACACATCCTTAGCTTGTTAAATGAAATCATCTATTTTGAAACTTGGTATAATTTTACACAACCCTGTGTTTGTACACTTACAATGTATGCAAAATTACACATATCAAATAACATGATAATACTTATAATTCTAATTAAGTACATGAAGTAAAAGCCTCAAGAGTTTTCAGGTTGTTTAAAACTAAATAACTGTTTAAATCAAAACAACAAAATTTTGTCAAGTTGTAGCTTTCAAATTAATTATCTCCATTTATAACATAATGTACCACAGAAAAAAATTACATCAAATTTCAATTGAAGTTCACAGTCCAGTAAATGTATCATGATAAATCGCTGTGCGTCTTATTATTCATTATCTTAGTGATATACATAGACCTTGTTCGGAATTATTATGTAACAAATGTCATGTTTTTGTATGCCAATTAATCAATATATAGCAGATGCTGATTATTAGCTAGTACCTAATTTACCATTTTTATTTTTCTCTATTGATTGTCATTTAGATATTGAAAGGGGCAGACACCATATATTTCTGAATATTCCAACACAAGATAATTAAAAACTTAAGAAAAAGAAACATTATTTTCTTATGTTATACTCTCTGCTTGACCTTGCACCATATGCTTAAAAATAAAAAAATTGTAATACAATTATTATGACAATATTAATTGGTCACTATTTAAACTTCTTTTGAATAAAACGGTAAAGGACCTGTAATCTTTCCTCCATTTCCCAAATGAAATGCTTTGTTTCTCGAACAATAGTGTGTCCATATTCTTGACAAAACTTTTCCTTTTTCTCTCGCTCACAGTACACTGATATTACATATATCATTCCAACAATAAATATAGCTGTCATGAACAAGGATAACAATACCTTTGTACAAAGTCTGCCATCAGTTGCTGAAAAAGACGATAAAAGAAAAATAAAGTCTATTCATATATTGAACAATTCAGTTAAAATAGTCCTTTCTTTAAATGGTCTCATAATGCTCAGACTTCTCACACAAACAGCCCTTTTCAATTAAATTGTATGATGAGACGAGAATTTTTTTTTCTTCACGAGCGACAGTATACAGACAATTGTAAGCTGTGGCTCTCTTAGGTAGATTTTATATTTTATATTAGCCAGCACATTTTGACCCTGCTTTCCAAATTATGTGCTTTTTTGCCTTCTTCAAGTAAGTGGTTATCCCGTTATTTGCTGGACTATGCAGGTATTTTTATTGTAAGTTTTATGACATATAGTCTGTCTAGATGGATAAAGGGCAACGAATGTGCACTGGTAACCCAGGTTTAACGCCTTCACATTCTGTGCCTATACCATGTCAAGGTAACAGTACTGTGTATTGTTTGTTGTTGTTTGTCTTTGAATATTAAATAATGAGATGTGGTATGATTGCCTATGAGACAACTATCCACCAAAGTTCATATGAAGTGAAACATGTGAAAGTAAGCAAATGTAGGCAACAATGAGAAAAACCCATACTGTATAGTTGGCTAAAAAAGGCCTAATCTATAACAAAACAATTTATGAAAAACAAATATTACAGACATTAACCAACGACAACCACTAACCACTGTACTACAGGCTCCTGACTTGGGACAGGCACATAAAGAATGTGTGTGTGTGTGTTTGGGTGGGTGGGGAGGGGAGGGGGCTAAACATATTTGTGAGTGCTCAACCCTCCCACTAACCTGGGACAGTGGTATTACAGCACAACATTAGAACAAACTGTAATAAAATGCTCTGCTGGACAGCTTGATATGACCGCAGAGGTCGAACCCTGAACAGTTGGGGCAAGTATGGACACAACATTCAAGCTTGATACAGCACTGAATTTGGATTGTGATTAAATATTTGACACAGCACAGGTTTCTGACACAGAATGAATGTGGTCTAAGACCTTAAAAATTTTTAATTTACCTATTCAAACCATATCATTATTATTTGCTTATATATAAATCAGAAATAACCAATTTAAAATGGAAAATTTTAAAGAAAAAAAAATCCTCCCCCCAATTTTTTGAACCCCCTTATGATTCATCACCCCCAAACTCAATCCAAGCCTTCCCTTTGAGGTATGGTACCTGCAGTACAATTTCAGAGAGATCCATACACTTGAACACAAGTTATTGTCTGGAAACTAGAAAAATGCTTGTTTTTTGGCCCCTTTTTGGTCCAAAATTCCAAAACGTTTAAGGCAATTACCCCCAAACTAAAACCCAGCTTTCCCTTTGTGATATGGAACCTTGTAGTACAATTTCATAAAGATCCATACACTTACACACAAGTTATTGTCCTGAAACTAGAAAAATGCTTGTTTTTTGCCCCTTTTTTGCTTTTGGTGTGTATGTGTCTGTAATTATTTTAAGTTAAGAATTGATACACTAATTTTTTTCCATTACTGTGGATTCGTTATTATTTTTGTGATACCAATTTTCATCAATTGTGAGGGCAAAGGTCAATCACAAATCTAAATATTTAATAAAGAACAAATTTTATATATGCTTGTATGCAGAATTTGGAAAACAATGAAATCAAATATCCATGTAGATATAATTTCTCCTCAATTCACGAAATTGGTATTTGAAAAATAAAAGAACTAACAATACATGAAACATGTGAAAACAAAAACAAGTAACTTTAATTTGTTTACCTGTTTTTACTTTTATTGCACTTTTTCTATTTCCACTATCCAGTCTTTCACCTAAAAAAAAATAATTAAAATAACAGTTCATCTTATATCAATTTATTTAAAGAATGACTTACTATTTTTTCTGTCTATGAAGAAATCACATAAACAAGACTGTGTCCATAGTACATGGATGCCCCACTTGCACTATCATTTTCTATGTTCAGTGGACCCTGAAATTGGGGTCAGAACTCTAATTTGGCATTAAAATTAGAAAGATCATATCATAGGGAGCATGTGTACTAAGTTTCAAGTTGATTGGACTTCAACTTCATCAAAAACTACTTTGACCAAAAACTTTAACCTGAAGCGACCAAAAACTTTAACTTGAAGAGGGACAGACAGACGAATGGACGAACAGACACACAGACCGAAAAACAGAATGCCCCTAGGTGAGGAATAAATATGTGGTGCACACTGAATAACCCTCGTAGCGTGTTATTTAAAAGTGTGCACCACATTTTTTAGGTTATTTTAATTAGACAGAAAAAATATTATAGTCATTCCTTATAATCTAATTCTAATATCCATTTTTAAGGAGTAAATATTGAAAACAAACGTTGGTGACGTCACGGTCACATGACAAAATTATGTCTATGAGCTGATAGACAAAACACTTTCAGCCAATCAGAAGACGTGTTACATCCAAAATTAAATTATATACATACAACATCTACAAATAAAGAAAGTGAGGGGCAATATTTCACCACTGGACACAATTTTAAATTTTCTAATTTAAAAAAGTTAGATTAAAAAAAATTGACATTTCAGAATCTACAGGATATTAATCACTATGAGTAATTTGATTGTTTGTAAACCAAAATAAAAATGGTGTTAAACCATTGGTCAATTATACATTGTTATTGACAATCTTAACCAATCAACAACATGTTTGGCATATGCTTTTGAAAATATGATCAAGAATGCATAACTAAATTTGTATTCTTTTCGAAAGGTTTTTTGTAGGTATAAATACACATCCAGGTTCATTTTCTATATAGAGATTGCTTTATCTATTTATAACATTATACATATTTATTATAAGGTTAAATCCAAACTATCCTACTGCCTGTCGATACTTTAATTTTGGCATTGCACTAGTCATGTCTTCTTTGACTGTCCATGGCGTTAAAACACTAAATTCCTGGAATGTGTTTTAGTTGATTTTAGTCTCTGATGAATGATTTTTTATTATTAATTGTATTTGGCTTTTAACTAGCTTTCGGTAACTGCGAGTACTCTCAAATCGTACTTTTGTTTTAATTTGACCTGTTGACACAATTTGTGATGCATTTTTGTTATTCAATGTTTAATTATTTTGTGCTATATCTTGTCTCACTATAAGTATTTAGTATGACAATAAATTTTCACTGCTGTTCTCCTACTATGAACAACAAATTTATTAATTTTGTAAAAAATATCTCCGTACTCCTAACAACAAAATTATAATATTTAAATTTACCTGAGTATGTTATTTTATTTAACACCATTTTGTCCAAGGTTATAGTTGTCTTTTTGACATTGTTTTAAATTCCCCCCTTTTTTATTTAATATTGTATTTATATTGTGTCATAGATCAAATTTATTCGTTCAGTGTATGTTTAATTGTTTTTGTTAATATATTGTCTTTTTGATTGAGTTAAGCCATTTCAACTAATATATTCTATAGTGTGTCTTTCTATGTTGTAATGTTACACTACTATTTCAGGTTAGGGTGAAGGTTGGCACGTGTTAAAACGTTTAAATCCGTTGTATTGGTTTGCACCTGTCCTTAGTCAGGAATCTGTTTCAGTGGTTGTCGTTTGTTGATGTGGTTCTTAAGTGTTTCTCATCTTTTATATAGATTAGACCGTTGGTTTTCCTGTTTGAATTGTTTTACACTAGTCATTTTGGGGCCCTTTATAGCTTGCTTTTCTGTGTCAGCCAAGGCTCCGTGTTGAAGGCCGTAATTTTACCTATAATTGTTTACTTTTTACACATTGTGACTTGAATGGAGAGTTGTCTCATTGGCACTCATACCACATCTTCTTATTTCTATTAGATTTTGAAATAGGAAATTGTGAATTTGAAACCAGAACCAAAAAGTGACTTCAGTTGCAACTATTTTATTTGATAAAAATTAATTGTCGAAATCGTTTCAGTTTATACCAATTTGACTTCAGGTTTGTCTTATAGGTTCAAGAAAGATGAAAATGATATTTCTGAAAGGAGATAAATTGGAACCTATGTGGCATCTTAACTCCCATGTACAAAAATGTATACCACCCTAACAACGCAAGCAAACTTTGTACAGGTCTTCCAATATTCAAAAGATATTTCCTTGCTGGTTCTTATATTAAGAAATTGAGATTCAAACTAATCAGAGTGATGCACTGACATGATTTTACCTGATCTAAACAAATCAGTCATCTAAAAATATGGACATACAAATATCAATATGATTTTTTTTTTCACCAATTTGTGCACACAAATGTATCATAATTACCTTCTTCTGATGACTGTGTGTCCTCATCTTCCTCTTTTTCAGTCTGATACTTTTTTCTGCTTGCTTCCTTTTTCCTTTCTTTTTCAGCTTTTCTTTCATCTCTTATTTGCTGTCTCTCACTTTCTTCCTTTTCTTTCTGTAACGCTTCTAATTCTATATAAACAAACAGATCTTTGTGCAATCAAAATAAACATAGGAGAAAGATGTGCTTAAATGACATACATGTCACTGCATGTACAGACAACAATTCAGTAGCACACGTATCCAAAAAGAATATTAATTCAATGTTTTGTAATGCACTGAGAAAATTTGTTTCATGCATCTACAAAAATAGCATCCCTAAAAATTTAAGAAATCAGACCAATAGAGACAAACATATTTACTGCTACCTGGCTACTGAAAGCATTAAATAACAGTAATGCATTAAAAAAATCTAAAAACATGGCAAATTATTCCAACTTACAGTTTAATGCCATTTTTTTTTAACTAGTTAGTAGTAAGGGTCAAGGTCAGATGAACCCTGCTAAATGGACATGTACACCATACAGTCACATTCCATACACCAAATATAATTGACCTATTGCTTATAGCATCTGAGAAATGGATATAATCACTAAAACTTAACATATAACATGAACCGTGAAAATAACGGTCAAGCCCAAATAAACCCAATCCAACTGTACACCTTACAATCATATCATACAATAATTTAGTTAATCTGAGAAACAAACATTCTCACGAAAACAACTTTGATCACTGGTCCATGAAAAGAGGTCCATGACAAGAGAACCTTGTTTGAAGGATGATGATGGATGGCTGGCTGTTTAACGTACAGCAGCAGATTAAATGCATATAGTAAACCAACTTATTTTCGCTCATACTTTATTTCATGTTAACAATGGTTAAGTTGTTTCTAGCCAACTCCACGGCAATTTATGTTCGTCATATTCTCATTTTCTTGATATATTTATATAATGGAAGATCCTAGTTTGGCATATATGCATTGATTTAAATCAAAATTATTTTTCTACTTGTGTAAATAAATCACTTGCAAAAACTGGTTGGTTTTCAAGACGAGAACATGTAAAAGTAATATGAATGTTAACACTATACTTTGTACATGTCTGACACACTGAGCTGGATAATTTAATGTGCTGGTTCACAAAGTAACAGTTTGCAGGAAGAAATGTCATCCTACCCATAGACATCATTCTGACTCTGAGCTGACTAATTTTTTTATCTTATTCCTTAATGCCACATGCTTAGCTTGAGTGAAGAAGCAGCAATACCATTTATAGTCTTCAGTTAGACTTGATCAGGGTTTGATCACACTCAAGGCGAAACGCAACCAAGAGACTGTCAATCTATTTGACAAATGCCAATACTTGAAATGGTTCTACATACCAAATACAGTTGTCCTACAGCTCATAATCACTGATTTTTTTTTTTTAATCAGTCACTGAACTACAAAAATGAGGTCAAAGACAAAGGAAACTTAAGTTTGAGCAACACGAACCCAACCAAAAACCAGGGGTGATCTTGGGTGCTGGTTAGGGTAAGCAAATACAAACTGAGAAAACAATTATAAATATTTTGAAGATTTACCTCTTTCTTTCTGAAGCCTTCTCTGTTTTACTCTTTCTAGTTCTGAATTGAGATCTTTCATATACCTCAATATCTGGAAAATAAATGCATCAATAGATATATATAAATCCAGTGGTATGTGGGAAACAGAGTTAGGCAAAATACAACATGTATAAGAGGGTATCATGGGTATTGGACATTTGACAAAGTTTTATCATGTTAATGTATTCAAGACCATTACACAATCTTTAGAAAAAGGTGGAGGGTATTTCACAAGTGTACAGTCAGGGATATAACTCTATAGGGTTATTAGAGAAAATAACATACATTTGTTATTGTGGACTAAAAAATCAAAGAACTGTGATAACATATGTCTGTTACATTTTTCAAAGGGCCAATATACATCATTTGTTTTTGTATACAAGTTCTATTAATATTATTATTGTCTTTATGTATACTAAACTATAGAAAGATATCTCAGTTTATATTTTGCCAATCATGCATAGTACACCTATGTTATTACAGAAAAAATATGCCTGTAATAACTAAAGGGTGTTATAAATTACAGCTTCTCTACATCACTTCAAAGCCTTTGCTCAGACATACATCATGCTTAATCACAAAGTATTTTAATTTATTGTAAGAAATGATGATCAGAGCATGTAATGAGGTTCTGCGCAAGCATCCCAGTAATTCCCAAGTGTCTCATATAATACGTTACATGCCCTTAATAACTAAGCCTAGTTATTACAGCTAAGTTTATCATACATAATACAAGATGATAAATTTTTGTAAAATGGAAGATATGACCTGAGTGTTGTGGCGAAATAAACAGTTACATCTTTCATCCTCCTTGTTTAACATTCTGAAATATCATGGATATGTAGATGTACAAACCATGCTGCTGATTGGCCAAAACTTTATTTCGTTTTAACATGTTTAACTTGACACTTGAACACTGATGTACATTTTTAAAGTTATTTCTGAGGGTGGTGTGTATATGGTTATATACCTTATTATTTCTCATTAATAAGAAAATATTTATATTTAAATAATATGTAAGGGAGTCTTAAAAGTGTCAGAGAGTTGAAAAAAAAGTTGGAGATATTTTTCAGTCAGATTGCGTATTAAACAAAATACAGCCGACTCTCGTTATCTCGAAGTCAGCCGGACCAGAGAAATATTTCAAGATACCTGTAGTTCGACTCAAACGAAAACCGGAAGTTTGACAGACCAAGGGACACAACTCTTGCTTACCTTGGTAAAGCTAAAATAAATACGGATGAATATGGGAAGGGGGTCGATATTCTGGTCTCATATCGATGGATTTGTATGTTATGGTCTTTCATTATTATAATAACATTGTTTTCACTTATTTAATTATTTCTTTGAACAGTTACAATTTTTTCCTGTGGCTTTTATCCGAGAGAGTAATTTCCAATCGATCTTATCGTTATTTAAGTCATTTAAATTTGACAAAATTGTTTATTCTCGGATACAAGAGATTTTAGAAATTTAGATTTCTTTTTATTTTCTTTTATCTCAATCTTTCTTTTAAAGAAAAAATACAAAAAGATAAAAGATGTCGATTGAGTAGTTTTTATGTGATCACCAACGGAAGTCTTAATCCCCACTTTATACACATCCAAGCTCATCAGTGTAAATCACGATTAATTTAATTATTTTTTTTTGTAAACATTTTAAATAATTTTTTATAAACTTTAACAATGTATCACTAATTATTTATCATGGTGATAAAAGATAATCTTAGGTAAACACTCGTGGAAATAGAATGTCACAAATCAATACCTTGGTCAGTGATGGGAAATTTAATTACACGTGTATTGTCAGATTAACTCTTCAATCCATTTAAATCCTGGAGGTCATGTTTTGACATATGACATATTACACGTGTATTGTCAGATTAACTCTTCAATCCATTTAAATCCCGGAGGTCATGTTTTGACATATGTGTATTAGTTCGAGATAAATAATGAATTTTGAATGCTTTTGTTAACCTTAGGACTGTATATTTAGTTCGACTCAACCGAAATTTCGACTCATCCAATTTCGACTCATCAGGAGTCGAAATACATATATTAATATGGAACAAAGTTCGGGACCACGAGAAAACTTCGACTCATCCGAAATTTCGAGTCAACCAAGTTCGAGACAACGAGAGTTAACTGTATATATATAATGTGTTTTGAAGTTCTATACAAGGTTACTATTCAAAGTTTTGTTTTATGGTAATTATTTCTGAAGACTTCTTTTACTATAGATTCATTCATTTTTGTTGCATACAAGTCTATTGGAAATTTTTATTTTTAACTCTTAATTTCATGATCCACCGATACCTACTAAATACAATGAATCCACAATATATATTTTAGAATATCTATAAAGGCAGCCTACCTCCAAAATCTAAATTGTGTCCTAAGTTATGAATATAGATTAACAATTTAATTCATATCTTACAAAAATTCTTTTGATTGAAAGCCTTCTAGTAACGGAACAACAAAATAAATTGTGAATTCTTACCCTTTGTGCACATTTTTTGCATTCATTCTCATTCAAGCAGTCTCCAGCATTTCTCTTTAGCTCGTCTTTCAAAGGATTGTCTTTTAAATCCAACCATCGTAATTTTTCCAATCTCCAAAAACTTAATGGCAATACATTTAATTTGTTCCCAAGAAGGTCAAGATGTTGCAAATTGCGTAGATTTCCAAATTTTTCAGGCAATTCTGTTAGTAAATTTTTGCTTAGATCAATCTTGACTAGGTGTACAAGTGTGCAAAATGGATCCTAGAATAAAGATTTAAAATAATAGAATTATATTGTAACAAGACTTTTCAACTGATTATTACAATTTGTTCTTATGTTGTGCTGTAACACCACTGTCAGGTCAGGGGAGGGTTGAGCAACCAAAAACTTGTTTAACCCTGTCACATTCCTTATGCACCTGTCAAAAGTCAGGAGCCTGTAGTTGACAGTAGTTCAGTGGTTCATGTCTGTCATATTTGTTTTTCGTAAATTGTGTTGTTATGAATTAGGTCGTTAGTTTTCTCAATTGAATTGTTTCATATTTTTCATGTCGGGGCCTTTTATAGCAGACTATATAGTATGGGTTTTCCTCATTATTGATGGCAGTACAGTTGCCTATAACTGCTTACATCCACTTTGGTTGATAGTTGTCGCATAAGCTATCATACCACAGCTCCTTATTTTCATATACTCTCAGTACAGTAGGCCATTGAACTAATTAGTAATGCAAGCTATACCATGTATACATTTACCTTTAATCATGTTAATGTTGAACTGACTTTTTGTATATTGACTGTTTTAAATACCAGTATATATAATTACTACTACCAGTAATCATGCTAATAAGTTATGGTAATTTGGAAACAATGGATTCATGCACAGGTTATATTCAGATGACTTTTTTTTATAAAATTACATGCAATGTTCATACAATTTTCATTCTAACAGGGAATTTTAACATTTCTTTGTTTTATGTACTGTAAATTGTTTATATTTTATTTACAAGTTTGCCTTATAAACAAAATGTACTAGTTAATATTGGCATGAAATTGTTATTCTACATACCTATACATGTAATGGTGAGATGACAGTTATGTTAGTTACAGGTAATGTTGAGATGTCATTGTTATTTTACTAAAGTGTAATCTAATGTAAAAATGAATTTGTTATTTTACTAAAGTGTAATGTATGATTGACATTGTTATTTTAATTAAGTGTAATGTATAAATGACATTGTTATTAAATGATTCAAAAGTGTAGTGTATAAATGACATTGTTATTTTACTAAAGATTAATGTATAAATGACATTGTTATTTCACTTACAGGTAATGTTGAGATGCCATAGTTATTTTACATACAGGTAATGTGGAGATCGTTATTTTACTTATCTGCTTACAAGTAATGTGGAGATGACATCATTATTTTACTTACAGGTAATGTGGAGCACATTGTTATTTTACTTACAGGTAATGTGGAGATGACATTGTTATTTTACTTACAGGTAATGTGGAGATGACATTGTTATTTTATTTACAGGTAATGTGGAGATGACTGTTATTTTACTTACAGGTAATGTGGAGATGACATTGTTATTTTACTTACAGGTAATATTGAGATGACATTGTTAGATAAATCCAATACTGTAGCTTTAGGTATGGCTGCCTGTCAAATAAAATAAATATACATACATGTAACTATATATTGTCTCGAAATATAAATTAATTTGCACAAGGCTTAGAAACAGGTAGAATTCAAGGCTTTGCTTAGCATTTATATCTGGTTTCAATTGTATATGGTCTCTTTATACTGCAACACTTACCACTGTCCCAAATCTAACACTTTGGGTAAAAATCAACAATTTTGAATTTTAAGAGGATAACCTAAAATTCCACAAACCTGTATTCTTTATTGATGTCATCATGGTCATAAATAAACTTGTGGAAACACAATATCACCATCACAAACAAGGCATTATATGATCAGTGACCATGGTGACTGTATTTCACAAATATTGATATACATTCAATGCAATTTGACTGTGTACATGGTGTAACAGTTGCAGTATAAATGACAATACCTAAGGTAGAATGGGTGTCTTCCACCATCTTGGATTGTAAAATATAGAACACAATTAATAGGTCTAGATCTTTAAATTTGAGAGAGGAATGTGTTTCATTTGTAAGACTTTTTATCTAAATGAAGAAAACTGTGTTTTATTACAACTGTTTTTTAAAAATATAGAACATTTTTTTTGTTTGATTTTTTTTTTTAAAACTTTGTCATAAAAGGGTAGATAACTCAGATAGGCTTAATTTTATATGTAGGGCATTTACCTGTTTTGTTTCGTAGCAAGAAATCTAGTCATGTGACCCCATTTTTTTTTTTACTTTCTGAAAGCACATTATATGAATTATCTTCTCATATTTTATCTAATAAATAAAATTCAATCGTTTAGTCTTCTTCTTATCACACAATATTGGTATTACCACCTACAAACTATACAAAATCTGACAATTTTGCACAACAGCTCTGTCACCCACACTTTTTTTTTTATCATTTTTGAAAATAAAGCATGATATAAACTAAATTTTTGTATTTTATCATTTTTTTTTAATCAATTTTAATTTAGACCCCTGATCTAAATTTGTACCTAAATTATCCTTAACTGGAAATAAACAAGATTAATGATAAATCAAAACCAATATAAAGTTATATCATAAAATTACTCATTTCTTTGCTACAAATGTATGCTGTCAAGAAGAAGTCTTTCATTTTTAATTGTAATTTATCAAAAATGTATAAATCTACCCTCTTTCAATCTTTTGTAGATTTGGTGATATAGTATGTCATAAGATTTAATCCATGTGTTTCAAGATAGCTATGGAAACTGTGCATGGTTTTCAAGATTTGATTTATTGATTTTTTATCCAATATCTAATTAAAATTACTTAAGTTTGCTGTATAAAATGCAAAGTTCTACATTGTAGCTGAAATCAAATGGATTTTCAAGCTACTTGTACTACTACCTTTTCTCTTCAAATCTAAAAGCAACTCTGGAATCATATTTGTCTTGTTTTCTTTTTAATTTAATTTACAAAATCTGTTCCTTTCATGTACAATTGTAGTCAAATTAAAATTGACAGTTAGCTGGACACAGTTAACATACATATATATGCAATGTCAGGGCTCGACAATAACGCTTGTCCGATTGTCCGGTACCAGAGGAAACAAAGGTCGGACAAGTAAAAGCTATATCAAGCTTGTCCGACGGGACAAGTAAAATCATTCTGCAGAAAATAAATGTAATCCAACTTTGATGAACAAAGTAATTATAAACAAAAAACAAGAAAAGAACATAAAAACAAGTATTAATTTGACATGTTTACTTGCAATCGATAATTTAAAACTGGTTCTTTGTCAGGTACTTTTTAACAGGTTCTCGGAAACCTGTCTTACTGATCCAATATGCTGCGCTTTGTAGATAAGGTAACTTTACAAGACAGTTCATCACCAGCTCCGAAGCGATTCGGCTCCAAGTTTAATAGACAGTTTGGCACCGTAGGAGACATATTCAATAAACATAATTAATAGACAGTTTGGTAACGCAGGAGACATTTCAGGACCAAGACAAATCAGTACCTCGTTTTCCTACCTTATTCTGTTGCTTTATAACAAATACCATACCGGTAATTTTTTTAGCAAAAATATTTTTAAAATAAAAATGACCATAACATTCACAAAATCATATTTGATCATATGTCATGCATGTCATGTATGTAGAAAAAAACAATACTTGCAATACGGTGACCTATAGTTGTTAATTTCTGTGTCATTTGATCTCTTGCAGAGAGTTGTCTCATTGGCAATCATACCTCATCTCCATTTTTTTATTGATTGCATTAAATAAACTTTTTTCAAATTAAAAAACCAGGATACAAATCCAATGAGTGTACATTGGCAATCCTATCAGACGGTGCCTCATGTGCAGAGTCTGATGAGACTTTGGCATTGATGAAAACTAGAACCTAAGTCCTGTGACATGACTAGATTCAGTTGTTCTCGACTCATATTTTTGTAAAGTATTGCAAAAGATATGTTAAAATCAAATTCTGTTCTATTGTTTTAATTCAATCAACTTAAAATGCAAAAAAGGTTATTATTAAGATTTTTTTTGGACAATTACAATTTCATTCGGACAAGTAAGTTTTGGTATGTACTTGTCCTACTGGACAAGTTGAAAAAAAAGTTATTGCAGAGGCCTGAATGTACATGTAAGATCAAGTGTACTATCAATGATAATTCCCTTTTGACATTTTTCAGTGAAACTAGAAAGTAACCATGTAGATATCACAATCACCTTCTACTAATCATACCCTGGGTGAGCAGTCACAAATTGCTGGTGAATATTGTTTTTGTATCAATGCATGGAATGAAATAACTTAAAGCAAGGAACACAAATTTTGATTTTAGCCACTACCCATTCAGGTCTTGGTCAAAGATGGTGATTGCCAAATATTCATGACATTTATAAGGAACTGAAGTGCATAGGTTAAATATTTCATTGTCAAATGAATGCTATATATACTGATAATTATAAATAAGGCATTCTTGGGTAATACTTATACAAGTCGTGTTTATAAATTTACTTGAAGATGTACAGAATATTTAGTTGCAGAAGTAAATTTGTAAGATTTTAATTTTCATTTCAAGATAACAATAATCTCCCCTTTGTCTTCTCAAAAAAATTACTTATAAAAATAAAAAAATTTACGAGACTTAAGATTCTCAAGTTTTGGTTCACAGGTACATAATCAAGATTATGTAAATAATACATGCCTATCATGTCTATAACTATACCATGTATACATTTTTTTTCTGGTTTGCTAATATTTTTTAATTAGACATGTTAGAGTTCAACTTCTTATCTCAAGGACTAAACAACCCAAGTCAAAGAGGACAGCAGTTTATTAACATTCACAGTTCTTACTTGACATCTGTTCTTTAGTAGTTCATTATAATTAGCATTCACAGTTGCCAAATTCAAGGCAATGGTTAATTTGCATATAGGCATTCCAATAGCATTCCATAGCAGTTTCTTAGCAGTTTATTTAGCCTTCACAGTTATTTAGCAGCTATTTTTGATGAAAAATTTAAATGAGATACCCCAAAACTGTTATCTTCTCTGAATATTCATGAGAACTGCTATAATAATAGCTATCAATAATGAATATTCATACAAACTGCTAAGTTGTACACCCTAATATGGTTTTCTAAACTGCTAATAACTGCTATGGAATGCTATCAGATCTGTCAAAAGTTGGAATACAAAGGTACGGTACATGAATATACAGGGTACAAGATATTAATGCAAGAATAAAATTCTAATATTTTTTCTAGCTATTTAGCTAATGAAACCTAGAATCTGGCGTTTGTCCTATAACTGTAAGTCTTGAAATTTCAAAAAGTTGTACTAATTAACTTATATTTGTAATTTTGAGCAGTAACTGCAATCAAATGACTATTTTAATCCAATAACAGACATGTTAAGGGGGTGTAAACATGTTTTGTGTCAGAATACTGTACCTGGCCTTAGGCCCCTTATAATTAATTATGTCAGTGTCAGAACAATAGCTATAGGAACAGTTAAGAATGCAAAAAGCAACTTATTCAATAAGAGTGGTTACTAGAGACTATTAATTACCTTGACTATTAAAGCGATTTTCAGATTAAAAGTTAATTTTCTTTTTTATTTTAATTATTATTTAATTACCAAATGTTCTACTTATTTCTCTCTACATATATATAATTTATGTGGACCAAAAGACAACAGTTATCTCCTCTTTCTCTTTTGGATTTAAACAAAAAAATACTTAATACATGTAATATACATGATATATAGTGTTTCCATTTTCTGAAACAAACTTAAGTAACATATATTAACTTCATTAAATGGATTGTTTGGTCAATATTAACCAATCAGCTATTTGCGAACTAGGTTTCCCTAATATTCCCTCCCCCTTTTTTCAACTCTTGAATATGATTTGTTTTTTTTACAAAATTATATTAAAATATTTATATTTTTATTTTCAAATAACATCTTGCACTGTATCAAAGTATATACTAGTATTTTATAACAATCCTGTAAACATCAGATATTCTATGTGAATAAGCGACTATCCCCCTTTTTTCAGGCTTTCTGTATGATTTCTGTTTTCCCCTACAAAGTTATGCCAGAAAATACACATGTATTAACTGTTACTTCAACTTACTGTACTACAGGTGTGTGAAAGTAATACATTTAGCCTAAATTAAACCTTATAATTGACAAAAATACAGTTTTTCACCAGCAAGTATTTACACACAGCTTTGGAGCCAAAATGCACATTTGAAAATGATCAAATAATCTTCAAATAAAGGTTTACTATCAAGCTGAAAACACAGCCAGATCAAAGCATTTTTATAACAAAGATTAAAACCAAAACTGCTATCAAACTGCTATTGAACTGCTGTTATAACTGTTGTCCAATTGACAAATTGACAGCAGTTTTAGAAGGTATCCAAACTGCTAAGATGAATGCTAATTATAAGAAATGCTGAAATAAGGCAGTTTTTCAAACTTCTATTAGATGGACTGCTAAACATATGAAGAACTGGTAAATAACAGCTAAAAACAGCTAATGATAGCAGTTCAATTTGACTTGGGAAAGAATGGAAAGTAAAATGGGATATTTGGCCTTGTATCCCTGTTGCCAAAAGAAATTTATTTTTCTGGTCATTGTCACAACCACGCCATGCACACGCAAGTAATAGTTGACAAGGAGGGAAACATTTGTTACGGTGAAGGAGAATATTTAGACCATCAAAATGATGCACAACAGTATGTGATGAGACAGTTTAGACGAGATCAACGATAAATTTTTTGAAAGAATGTGATCTGCTAGGATATATAACAGTCAGGGATATAACTCTATAGGGTTATTACAGAATAATAACATACATTTGTTATTGTGGACTAAAATATCAAAGAACTGTGATAACATATGTATGTTATATGTTTCAAAGGGACAATATACATCACTAGTTTAGTTAAAATGCATACAAGTTCTATTGATATTACTTTTGCCTTTATGTATACTTAACTATAGAAAGATATAACAGTTCATAGTTTGCCAATTTTGCATAGTACACCTATATGTTATTACAGAAAAAATATGCCTGTAATAACTAAAGGGTGTTATCACAGCTTCTCTATATCACTCCAAAGCATTTTCTCAGACATACATCATGCTTAATTACAATGTATTTTAATTTATTGTAAGAAATAATGACCAGAGCATGTAATGAGGTTCTGCGCAAGCTTCCAAGTAATTCCCAAGTGTCTCATATAATAGGTTACATTCCTTTAATAACTAAGCTATGTTATTACAGCTAATTTTATCCCTTAAAAGCCTCGTCCTATTTGATTTACCATGGTTAATAAAAAATGTACAAATTTAATTAAAACATTTATTATCAAGGCTATGCATTTAGTTTCTGCGCAAAGTCTCAAGAGTTCCCTAGAGCCCATTATAAATTAAAATATTTTTGATTTATTTTACAAATAACTAACATATGTTATTGCAGATTTTGAAAATTTAAGGAATAAAGAGTAGACAACTCATGAAAGTATCTGTAATAACACACGCAAGTTATTTTCTGTAATAACCCTATAGAGTTATATCTCTGACTGTATAAGATTTCTCCAAATCGGCATACCGTAAACACGCAAAGTCAGCAAAGTCAGCAGACTTTAGTCTGGGAGAACATGATTTATTAATTTGTTGTAATCATGGTACATTCTTTTATGAGTACTTTGTGTCTTTTGTGTTTATTTTAGTTGTTTTTGTGTCTTGTACCGGTCGTTTTGAGTTTAGCCAATTGCAAGTGTTTTTCCAATCTTTATTGAATTAAATAAATCGTTGTGTAAAATCTTGTTTAACAGTTATCTTCAACTTTTACCTTGAAATGCTACTTGTTTAGTACTTTTGTTTATTTTGAGACAATCCCCTTCATTTTACCTGTCAAAGTTGGTGTAAACAGTCGGAACCGAGACTTTCCGCAAATCTCTGATAGTAGTCCCTATGACTCACATTCTTAGACTTGTCGCATAAAATTCAACAGATCCTGATTTCCAGTTAATATAATTCAAACATTCTGGAAATTAGAATTCTCATAAGTGTGGAAAAAAATTTTAAACAGAAATTGTTGAGTAAGTTGGGTAATGTTGAAACACTTTTAACAGTCAGGGGAATTAATGAGTGATTAAGAAATCACTGATTCAAGTAACATTTATTCAGAAATGTTGGAAGTAAGAGTTGTCTTTCTTTAATAATCACCTATTTAGAAGTAGTACAATTAAATCACTAGACTAAGTGATTTAATTTTATTGTAGCTTTAAATATATAATACTAATGATCCAGGGACTAATTATGTTGCTAAAATTATCAGAAACAACATCTGTGTTTATAGGATGACCGGTCTTGTCAGGTGATGACCTTGTACTGAATCTGGGAAAATGATGTGAAAATCACTTGTTTAAGTATCATACCTCTAGCATTGTCTAGTTTCTTAAGAAAAATCACTTCTTTAAGTATTAATATTTTAATTTCCCCACTAATTTCAACACCCCGAACAGTGAAATTTTGGTTATGAACAGTAAAATTTTATTACATAATCTGTAACATGAAACCTTGAATTTTACAGGAAAAAAAAATCCCACTGCTGGAAAAAATCTGTTAAGAAAGTATTAGATAATTATGTAAAACTTTATTATAGCATTTTTTCAACAAATATACATGTAGAATTTACAGATGAATGATTGCATCAAAGGCATAAACCTTGCTACTTGAAAGAAGCAAAAGGTTCATTTTTTTTCAATTTTACTAATAATTAGATATAATCTAAACCTGTATGTTTAAAATTTTGGTAAAACTACAAAATCACAGAATTTCTAATTTGCTACTTAAATGAGTGATTAATAAATCACTTATTTCAGTAATTTCCTCAGACTGTTTGAGAGATTATAAGACAATTTTTAAAACAGAAACCAAGGCAACACTTTTTTTCATCTGCAAAAAAAAAAAATATCGCTATTTGTCTGCCATTACTGGACATCACGAAGGTTCCCTTAAAATTTTGATGTCATAATAGAAAACATCTGACGCCACAATGGAAAAGTAATTGTTGTATGACGTCAATAGTTCATGTAGTTCAAGAGGCACAGATTCTCATGTCAAGCGGCGCAGATTTCCAAATATCGATAAGGTCTATTGACCTGGATGGTAAAAACAGACAAGGCAGGGTTAGTGGAAACAAACAATCATATTTATGGCATGGCCTGAAAAAAGTAAACAAGATGGACCATGTTCATCATGTTCATGATGTTGAACAGTTATATTTCTTTTGCCAAATTCTTTCACCAATAGCCAGGTTGGGCTCAAGTCAGGAAAAGTGGGGTATTCCCTGTTTTCAGGGACCATCCCAGTTTTCTGGTGTTAAAAAACCCTAGTTTACAGGGACTTCCTTTTTCTATTTCAATTCATGGCATGAAATTTACAAAAGCGCATGTTTTAACTGTATCAGTAGTATTTGTAAATACTTTAAGTATCATAGGAACAACAAAACATGAATAAGTGAAGCCTTGTTTTTTCTAGAACTCAAAAACATACAAATCTTTTGTTTAGGAATCAGTTGATCAAGCTGCATGCTCCAGGTGTAACTGATCATAACTGAATTATGTTCACTTCTATTGAAATTTTCTATTCATTGAATTTAAATGCCTAAGTGATTAACTTATCTGTTTGTCTTCTCATAATTGATGATCAAGGTATGAATTGGTGAACAAAGGAATTGTTTTGTTGTGAGTTGAGCATCAAATAAGACTTGAAATTAGCTTGATTTTTGAACTTATAAAAACACTTGCTATCATATAACATTGTTATCACATGTAGAAGGTGCACTTTTGTAGATTTCATACCATAAATTGACAAGGAAAAAAGAAGTCCCTGTTTACTGAGGTTTTTAACACCAGAAAACTGGGGTGTTCCCTGAAAACAGGGAATACCCCAGTTTTCCTGACTTGTGCCCAACCTGATAGCGAGTTTTAATCGCCACAATTTCAATTTTTTCCCAAAAAGCGAAAATGGCGACCCGCCAGAGGAAACCCTGCTGGGGCTTATACATAATGTATTAGTCTCAGCAGTCATTGAAAATTTCATGATAAAATTGGGTCTCATACTCGGAGTTGAGAGGGTAGGTTGATCTCAAAGTCTAGACAAAAAAAAAATAGTTGTGGCGTTATGACCTCGTAGGACGGCGTCACTGCAAAAGATTAATATAGTCTTTCATGACATCATACTTATTTGTGGACTAGACTTGTCTGAGCTGTGATGACACTGATGGCGTGATGCTAACCATTTGAAGAAACACAATCGAAATAACTAACCAGTTCTTTGACAGGAACAGTTGTCAAATTGCTCAAACCAAGATCTAATTCGTTTCCATCTAGTTTGTCTTTCAAATTTTCTTTCGGCATTCTGACAGCTGTGAGAAAGTGAAAACTGAAAGTTGAAATCGTCACCAGATTTCACCGGAAATGAAACCAGACATGTACTGTACATACAGAATACATCTAACCATCTTTTTCCATATGAACTAATCTTAGATATAGCCTATACCCGAAGAAGAATATTAACAACAACGACCATTTAAGACAAAAGAAATATGTCATAACTCAGTTTAAAATCCTGACTGAATGACAAAAAACTATAAAAAACATTGTACTAAATGATTTTATTGTCATTAATAAACTTTTCTCACCAGTTCTATATTATAGCACGTTCCGTTGAGTTGTTGGACAAACTCTCAGGCGGTATTTTGCGATATTATATAAAGATTTAAAGTGGAAAAATTCTAACCGAGCATTACTATTGTATATTTAGGAGATCTTAAAAACGTTTGATTGGAAAGAAGGTTTAGCCGTTAATAAGCTTCCTGTCGATCTTGACATGCGAAATGTGAATTTCGAGAAGACCCACACGCACATTTAGGCCGAATTTCTTATTCAAAAAGCTATTTCTATGGTATTTCAATTTATAATTCAATTTATGCAACTCCAACAAACATATGCCTACCCATTATCACACAATAATTTGAATAACAAAACTAATTAATGATGGTTTTCACTTCACGACCTTGAATACTGTTTCGTAATAAAAAAAATACGTAGCTAAGATCACGCAATCATAAAATTATTGCAGCATACTGTGTTTAATGGCGAATTTTTATATAAGTTACTTGTAAAGTATAACATTTAAATTATGTTGATGGTAAGTGAATTGAAACATGATAAAACAAAAGACACGAAAGTGGTGAAAAAGAAGTTAATACTAATAATAGACTTTTTAATTGATTTTTTCATTTGTGGCTTTTGGGCCTCTGTGGCAGTGTGGTCTAAATAGTTTATCAACTGTATCACTAGCCTGTCCACACTGACTGAGGTTGTGAGTTTGAACCTAGTCCATATAATTATGACGCCTTGAAAGGCTATTTTATTTTTTTTCTGGGACGTCTTCCTACGACAATGTAACGCTGAAGCCATTTTTTCCGTCTGGACTTTGAGAGAGAATTTTCTGTAGAACTTTGAGACCCAATTTTGGCATGAAACCTTTATTGACCGCTAGAAATTTTTGCAAAGATACAAAGTCTTACCTTTATTAAAAGATGAATTTTGGTCTGTTTTGTAGAGTGCTTATAACAAATCAATTTTCAAACAGTTACAGACTTTCCGTAGAGATTTGACAACCTGAATCAGATTAACAGATGTATTTATATTCATTCGCATAAGGTCGATTTTTTTTCCAAGGCAGCTCAGTTGTCTAAAGGTAGATAGTTCTTTATATGTTATAATAATATTGTCTACTGTTTGCTGTTTGTTTCAGGCAAAATACCTTATACAGATAGTTACTGCTGGGGCCCAAGTTGTTGGAAGGGCTTTTGTCAGAGCTGTGCGAGAGGAACATCAAGCTTACAAACATGCTGCCAGTCGACATGGAGGACAATCAGGTTCTTCACAATCTAAACAAGAAGCTAGAAAGGCTGCTATTAATGACACATTTACTGGAATGTCTTTACAGGTACATTATAACAGGGACATGTTTGTCATGAATGAGGGGAGGACTCTATAAATCATATTTAAAAACTCAACTATGATTTTTTTGGCTGAAATTTTTTTTAACCCAAGTGAAAATATTTTCATGAGATCATGAAATAATAGAATGTTGTCTCTTAAATACCATTAAATGCTAGGTATGTAAACTTGTAATGTGTATCATGAACATAAGTGATGTCATAAGTGTACACATGGATATGGATTTTAATACGACCGCAAACAAATTTTTGTGGTCGTATATTGGTATGTCGTTATCGTCGTTGTCGTCGTCCGAAGACACATTAGTTTTCGCACTCTAACTTTAGTTTAAGTGAATGGATCTCTATGAAATTTTACCATAAGGTTTAATACTACAAAAGGAAGATGGGGATTGATTTTGGGGGTTATGGTACCAACAGTTAAGGAATTAGGGGCCAAAAAGGGGCCAAAAATAAGCATTTTTGTAACTTCCAGACATAACTTGTGTGTAAGTGTATGGATCTCTCTGACGGTTACAACACCATTAGATTTTATGGGCGCAGCCATTTTATGAGCATAACATGGTATTCAGAATTAAGAGTATAGCTAATCCTGATTGGTTGATATGTGCGCCCGTTATTTTTTGTTATTAGAGACTTCGTGCATTCTGCATTATACCAAAGGCCAAATAAATTATTTTCCTTAGCCCTAACGGAACTGAGATGTCTTTTAAACGCTAGGATGAGACACGTATTTTTAAGTGCAAAATTGATAGGCATGGGAGATAAGTACAAATTACGCTAAGAAAAGCAACGCGAACCTATATTTTTTGGACCAAAAAATACTGTCCTAATAACTTTTCTTTAATTCTAGCAAGGTTTCGTTAAAAAAAATCAACTTTCTAAAGTCTGTATCTCGAAAAAGGCTATCATTGTCGCCTATGGGGAAATTAATTGTTTATTTCAATCTATACAGCGTCGACATTTCTTTATCATAGTGCTCAAAAAGTGTCAAAAACAGTAATTTTACTTGATATTTGAAGTGAAACCATATTTTTTGGTGACAAATGAATTATTGATTAACAAGTTTTTAAGCTATAGTCTGTTTCATATTTGTATTGCGTTTTACCTTAGAAACAAGGGTGGGTTCGACTTTTGACTTACTGTGGAGAGAATATGTCATTTTCTGAACTTCTGCTGATTTGTTTGAAAAAAGCACGTACACGTCTAGAGTTTCAATATGCAAATCGATTTTTAAACATGACAATCTCGATCCAAGTGCTGTTATCGAAATTACCAAATTCAGTGAAAATGTACAGAAATGATCCCCTTCGAACATTGAAATGTTCACTCGAATGGCAGACTATAAAAATTAGAATAGGCATGACATTTTGTAGTTAACGAATAGTTTTCGATGTTTAAACACAAATATTTACACATTTTTCATATTTTGAAATGCTATAGTCTGTTTCAAAAATGTACTTTTATACGAAAATGGTTTCATTTAAAACTGTTGTTCAAAATTCACCGTAGTAGTTACATATTGGATCGGTTTTGGTATCAATATAATCAGTACTTGATGACATATAAAGAATCATTGGAGAAAGTGGACATTATCTTCAGGCCCTTTTTAGCAGTACCGCATTTACTAAAAAAATCAGATAATTTTTTTTCACATTTTTTGACTCGGGTCACCTCTGATAAAAAATTGTGAAAATTCAGAGAGTAATGCCAGAACGTTTTGAAGATGATTTTTGTGTGGCATATATATTAGTGCATCTAACAAACTATGAATTGCATGATTCTAGAAAGTATTAAATACCGTATAGGTTACAATACACCATTAGATTTTATGGGCGCAGCCATTTTATGAGCCTTACATGGTATTCAGAATTAAGAGTATAGCTAATCCTGATTGGTTGATATGTGCGCCCGTTATTTTTTGTTATTAGAGACTTCGTGCATTCTGCATTATACCAAAGGCCAAATAAATTATTTTCCTTAGCCCTAACGGAACTGAGATGTCTTTTAAACGCTAGGATGAGACACGTATTTTTAAGTGCAAAATTGATAGGCATGGGAGATAAGTACAAATTACGCTAAGAAAAGCAACGCGAACCTATATTTTTTGGACCAAAAAATACTGTCCAAATAACTTTTCTTTAATTCTAGCAAGGTTTCATTAAAAAAATCAATTTTCTAAAGTCTGTATCTCGAAAAAGGCTATCATTGTCGCCTATGGGGAAATTAATTGTTTATTTCAATCTGACGTTGTACCACAAGGTTCCATATTACAAAGGGAATGCTGGGATTGATTTTGGGGGTAATTGCCTCCAAATTTTAGGAATTAGGGGCCAAAAAGGGGCAAAAAACAAGCATTTTTCTAGTTCATGACAATAACTTGTGTGTAAGTGTATGGATCTCTCTGACATTGTATCACAAGGTTCCATATCACAAAGGGAATGCTGGGATTGATTTTGGGGGTAATTGCCTCCAAATTTTAGGAATGAGGGGCCAAAAAGGGGCAAAAAACAAGCATTTTTCTAGTTTCATGACAATAACTCGTGTGTAAGTGTATGAATCTTTATGAAATTGTACTAAAAGGTTCCATATCACAATGGGAAAGCTGGAATTGAGTTTGGGGGTAATTGCCTCCAAGTTTAGGAATAAGGGGCCAAAAATAAGCATTTTTCTAGTTTCCAGACAATAACTTGTGTTCAGGTGTATGGATCTCTCTGAAATTGTACTGCAAGGTACCATACCACAAAGGGAAGGCTGGAATTGATTTTGGGGTAATTCCCTCAAAATTTTAGGAATTAGGGGCCATAAAAGGGCAAAAAAACAAGCATTTTTCTAGTTTCAGGACAAAAACTTGTGTGTAAGTGTATGGATCTTTATGAAATTGTACTGCAAGGTTCCATATCACAAAGGGAAAGCTGGGTTTGAGTTTGGGGGTAATTGCCCTAAACGTGTAGGAATTTGGGGCCAAAAAGGGGCAGAAAAACAAGCATTTTTCTAGTTTCCAGACAATAACTTGTGTTCAAGTGTATGGATCTCTCTGAAATTGAACTGCAAGGTACCATACCACAAAGGGAAGGCTGGGATTGAGTTTGGGGGTGATGAATCATAAGGGGGTTCAAAAAATTTGAGGGGGATTTTTTTTTCCTTTTTTTTTTTTTAAATTTTCCATTTTAAATTGGTTATTTCTGATTTATATATAAAAGCAAATAATAATGATATGGTTTGAATAGGTAAATTAAAATTTTTTAAGTTCTTAGACCACTGTCATTCTGTGTCAGAAACCTATGCTGTGTCAAATATTATTTACAATCCAAATTCAGTGCTTGCCCCAACTTCTCAGGGTTCGACCTCTGCGGTCGTATCAAGCTGCGCCCCAGTGGAGCATTTTATTTTTATTTAACTCATTTAAGCAAAAACTCAAATTTACTAGAGACAAGGTGTCATGTGCATTGATCAACATACATTTTTTTGTTAGGATCTTTATCTTTGACATATGCAACTTTCTATGACAAATATAATTATATCAATCCAAGACAATTATTTTCTGAAATGAAATAGATCTAATAAATGCATTAGAAATTTCTTGTTTCTTAAAATTCAAGATTTTTTTTAAAACATGACAACAATACTCACCATTGTAGGACAATATTTCAGAGAAAATAAGAACTTGAATCAAATAAACTTTCTGAGGAAAATCACAGATCAGAAATATTAATTTTACTGTCACAATTCCATATTTTCTTAATTTGTTTATTCCAGGAAGCCAGACAGATATTAAATGTAAAAGAAGATGTAGATTATGAAAGTCTAGTGAAGAATTATAGTCATTTGTTTGAAGTCAATGATAAAATTAAAGGAGGATCACTATATATACAATCAAAGGTAGGTCTCTATACACAGTGATCAAAACTAGGGAAATTTTCCATTAAAATTAAATTTGTTCATTAAACATATGACAATGTATGAGGACGTAAACCACAACATAGAAATAAAAATAAAGTTGCAATTGGGCAAAGAAATAGCAAAAGTGTTTAAATGAGGCTCAACTCTCTCATGATACTCATAGATCATTTTTTGTAGATGTTCATTCAATATATTTGCATTTTTTAAAACTCTCAGTATTGATATACCGGTAACTGTGCTTTCCAAATATTTGTCCAAACATTTGTCAACAAGACTATGTGAAGTCAAATTATACAAAGACATGTGTACACATTTTATATCAAGTACTACTTCCAGTATTTAAGTATTTGAACTCATTTGGATCTTGCACTATCTGATATTTTTTCAACTAAACTGGTATAGTCTTGATATAGAATAGTGGTAATAATACAAGAGTTATTTCCCTTTGACCAGCAGTTTTAGATATATAGTTAACTGTAAAATGGCTTCAGAAGTTATCACTAATTTTAACTATAAAATGGCTTCAGAAGTTATCACTAATTTTAACTTATTCTAACTACATGTTTTGGAATTACTACAATGACACACTTTTTGTTTTCTTTACTTAAAAAGATAAGTAATATTTAACCAATTATTATGTTAATCGAAGGAAAGTAATTACCCAGACAAATGTCAAACTCACGTGAAAATTCACATGAAATCAGTTCATATTATAGTTTTTAATGTAACATACATACTGTAGTTGAAAAAGTTTTGATTTCTGAAAAAAAATTGTAACAATTTTTCAATTTCAAAAAGTATAATAAACCTTAATGTTTTCAGGTTGTGAGAGCAAAAGAAAGATTAGATATGGAAATGAAAGACAAAGACAAAGATATAAACACTGAAACTAAACGAATAGAAACAGACAATAAAAAAGATAGTCAAGATGGTCCTTCTTGACAAAAATTATTTTAGTGTATAGTGAATCTACAACAATAAAGAAAATGCCTTCCGTTCAGGAAATTCTTAGAAAATACCATCGTTTGTTATCATATAAACAATTGTTGATGAATTTGTTCTTGAGTGAATGGAAGGATACATTGTACAACAAACATTATCATTAAATCTGTATGCATAAGTTTGACAAATAAAAAGGTACACACGTAGTCGACATTTGCTTTATAGAATTTGATTAGAAAGAGGCCTTTATACTGAAAATTTATAATATACAATGATCGGATGTCTGTTTATTATCCTTGACTTTTATGACATTGGGAATGTTTCTTATTCCTCAGTAACAATGGAACTTACATTAAAATAAACTAACCAAAAAATATATTTTCTTCATTAAAAATAAAATAGCTTTAGAAAGAAAGTTTTTGATAAAAAAAATAAAAGGCAGAATATATTCATAATATATTTGATCAGTGCTACACCCCCAAATTTCATTTTCATTATGAAATCCCTATCTGTATTGTCATTTTCATTAGACAATTCATCACCAGGGGCAGGTCCAGGTGAGGGCGTAATGGGCGTACGCCCCCCTTTTAAAAAAAAAACGATCATAATCTAATATTGTATTGAATATGGCAATTAGTGCATTTCACAATTATTTTATGTTTTTTAGCAAAAAAAAAGGGGTCCAAAAATTTTTTATTCTACACCCCCTCTTTCAAATATCCTAGAAACGCCCCTGATCACAACGATTGTTATGGATTATAATTTGAATTATTTTAGGACTGTAAATGAGCAGTGACAGAAAATCCCAGCAGTGAAATAAAAAAATCTCTCTAATTAAGCACCATTAGTAACAATATATGTATATATGTACTGTAAATTCAGAAATTATTGCATGCATTTATTATTGCCATTTTCGAAAATTGGACAAAAATGCCAGATAAAATATTGTGATTTCTGAAAAATCTGCATACTCGAATATGTACCAGATATTAAAATGCGAGTTTGTATTATTGCAGTACTCACCTAGTCGCATTATTCCCAATAATAAAAACCTCACAATAATTCTGAATTTACAGTATATATATATATACTACTTGAAATATACTTTCTTTGGATTCTGTATTTAGTTAGCAATCCAGACATTTATATTTAACCAATTAATTTATAATTGAAAAAGGTAAAATATGAAATAAAAATAGTACTTGTGGATTTTAAGAATTATTAACGAATAAATTAATTTTGAATGGATTCTTTAAGAATACTAAATGGCTTTGCTATCATGTTTTCTTTAGTAGTGTAAGTCGATACATATCACAGTGTGGTTATTTCTGAGGCTTGTCATATGTTCTAATAGTCTCTTTTCTGAATTCCATTTTAATTGCCTGTTTATTTTTAAAAATGTGTATTGATTATTTTAGATTATGTTAATCTGATGGGAAGTGATATGTTGAATCAATGTGTCAGTTACATAAGAAATAAACATGTTTTTTTAAGAAACCAGTTACTGTTAAATGCCTTGATATGTGTTATGATATATGAAGTTGTCAGAATATACATGTCCAGTAGAGAATATTTCAAAACGTCCACAAATATGACATTTATCATAGGTCAACACGGAAATTATGAGGCCAGTAAAACCTTAAACAATTTCTTGACAGGGTCATTTAAAAAAAATAAAGTGATCTTATCTAGAATTCACTATCATAGCTTAATGTGTGTACCCTGTACTTGATGCACTGATAGCAGCATACTGTATTTTGAACATGTAGTCAAAAGATTGCCAAATACTGCAATATGGACAGTTTTTTGCCAATTTTTAGTTTGTATCCAAAAATGAATTAAAAAGGAAACCTAAATACAATACCTCTGCTGGTGGACTGTTAGTCCCTGAGGGTATCACCAGCCCAGTAGCCAGTACTTCAGTACTGGCATGAAAATATGGATATTATGTTATTAAAATTTGCTGTAACAAAAGTTTTGAAATAATTCGAAATTAAGGAATATATATCTCGATCCCTCATGCAAAGCTCTGATTCCTTACCTGGCTTTGGTTATACTTTTTGTCCTTTTTGGTTTTGTTAGCTCTTCAATTTTGGAAGAAGTTTTGGATTTTCACATATTTTGTCCTAGAACTTCACTGAAGAGACATTAACATATCGAAATGAGCATCTGGTGCAAGAAAAATTGGTACCGTTTATGTATTCAGTTTGATTTGATATTAATTGTCTGCTATAAAATGCTAAATTTATTTAAATTGTCTACATCAATTTTTACTTGTGCATAAACACATGTTCCAGGAATAAGCTTCATTAGGTATGCTCAAGATCAAGTTTGAAATCCAAACAGGTCTAAACAGAGCCAAAATCATCTAAAATCAAATGTTAGTTTGCACTATACATGGCTATTATAAACCAAAATCAGTACATTCAATACTAAAAATTTCATGTTATAGAAAAACAAAGGATATGGGGTGTCCATCCATGACACAAAATCAGTACATGCACAGCAAAAAAACCCCACACAAAATGCAAAAGAACAGTGCTTTTATTGCTGTTTCTTCATCTCAAAGTCACTGAGTTTATATGTATATATATATATATGTTGTGTACAAGATGTAAGTTTGTACAAATTATAATTTGTACAGGGTTTTTGTACAAGTTATAAGTTTTTTGACACATACCTTTTTGCACCAGGTGATAAAAGTTTATCTTCTAACACTTATCAGCTTTATGTCTTAAATTCAAATTTATATACTTCAACCTAACATTTAGTGCTATTCTCCTTGTCCTAAAACTGGAAATAAGGACACCTGAATGGTTTAAATTCTATTTTTATTTTTCTCCTCATACCAAAGTCATATCCATAAAAAGTCTTTTTGTGTTCTTATAATGTTTTTTGTAGCAATGCTCAGTATAATCTGTATCATGTAGTCATGGAAATATAACAGAAATATGAGAAACAAAAGGCTGTGTGCTTGTATCATCCATTTTTGTTAAGCGGTTCATAAAAAACTGATAACTTGTACAAAAATTCTGTACAAATTATAATTTGTACAACATTACAATTTGTACACAACATATATACACCACCTAGTATTTTTTTGAGCTATATTTGTTTCATATAGAGGGTTGAAATGATAAACTTAATAAGGGAGCTACCATTTGATGATTTTTATGGGGGGGGGGGCTAGGATGAAATTTGAAAAAATAGGCAGGACAGGAGTTTTGAGGTGTAATACCACCATTGATTTTCCCCTATTAGTCTTTGTTAAATTTGCAGAATTTATCTTTGTTTCAAATAAAGAAATACTTGGCATGAGTAAAGTTTTATCCTGTCCAGTACTATAGAAAAAATTTCACATAACATTTCATTGCATATAAGAAAATAACCATCACTGGAAGTTAACCAATCAAATTTTCCCCCTTTTTTAACCTGTGTACAAGCTTTAGTAACCATGTAACCTCAAGTTTCCAAACTATTCTATAGAAACCCCAAATAAAAAAATAATGGTGCTTTGAAATACACAAGATATATGTTTATGACCCAGAAATGTTTTACTGCAATGAAATGTAGGATCAATTACCTACAACTGTCAAATTCAAGGGAATATTTTTTTCGACCTATTTTCGTATGCAACTGGATGTGACGTACTATGATTTGGTGGTATTACACCTTGAGTAGAAAAAAAAGGCAGGATGAGACACTTTGCCAAAAAAAGGCAGGATGACAATTTATGTAAAAAAAAAAGTCAGGATAAACTAAAAAAAAAAGGCAGGACCGAATAGAGTGAAAAATAAAAAGGCAGGACAGAGATTACAACTAAAATAAAATGCAGGACAAAATTTTTCATCCTAGCCCCCCCCCTTAAAATCAAATGGCAGCTCCCTAATATTCCAACACCTGATCAAACATGCACATATATCTATTCGATACCTATTTAAATGAAGGACAAATCATGATTTTTCTGTTCTTGCCCTTTTAGGGGATGACCATTTTGATAATCTGGGAGGGGAGGAAGGAGGATTTTATTCGGATTGACTATTTATTTGCATCTGTTGCTGCGCATGCTTATTTGTACACGATTGATTCCTGCCCATTTTGTGTTGCATTACATTCATTTACATCGAAAGGATATTTATTTTCAGCGGCTCTCACCAGTCCAGGATATTCCTCCCTTGCTTGGTTATATTGTTAGTAGCTGATTATGGCCTCTCTGATAAAAGTTACAACCTTTACATGGTTGGGACATTATAAATCGTTTTCTTTAGATGGATTTAAAATTAAAGAAACTAAACTGAAGGTGGCACGGTAGTATTTCCTGGCCCATAAGGGATAATGATAGCCTTTTTAGACTTTTCACCACTTTCTAGCACTGCCCAAAATTCTAAGTACACAGTTTACTGAAGTACTTTCATTATAATTTTCAGAAATTAATTTAAATATGTATCATGACCGTTTACTTTTTTTGCTATCTTTAAAAACCTAAGGCCACTAGTGCTTTTAGGTCTTTTATCATGCAGTGAATACAAAATTTAAAAAAAATCTCAAAAATTCATTTTCACCTGTATGTAAAATTATTTCATATTTTTCTACACCTGATTCATCCCTCAGTTTGGGAAAGTATGTTCAGTTGATACTGTATTTTTTGTCCAATCACACTGTTCAGATACATTGACTTAAGTAGGGTACAAAAAAAAGAGCAACCTAAATTCTGGAATGCAAATACTACCGTGCTACCTTAAGCCTGATGATAAGCCCTTTATTCTAACTTCAATTACTCTAAAGGTCTTATCCGCCAGCTAGTATTTTTGTCCTATCAAGTTTTATATTTTTCAGATGAAAAAAAATCTATTAAAATATCTACAATTTGCTACACAGCAAAATCGAAAGTTAAAGTTTAAATGAAAGCGAAAGTAGCATTTACAGGAAATTACATATTACGTAATACAAAGTTCAAAGTTAGGCATACTTATTGCATTATTTGTCTATGATGATGCGCACACACATATTTATTATCGTACCCGACATACAGTTTTAAAAAAGGTAACTTGAGATACGAAAATTTATCAATATTATCATTTTACATCAATTTATACATCAATCATGTTGCGGTCCATCAAGTTAAGACTATGGCCCATGGTATAGAATTTGGTTAATCATTTAAATCGACCTCAGGTTTGCAATATTCGTCCTTGCCAACGCCATATATAATAATTCACGATAATCAATTTTCGACTGTTTACTTGTGACGTCAAATTTATTCTTTGTGATGTCCCTCGAATCATTAAACAGTCATGAAATACGGATCCAGAATGTTAAAAAAATTAAACAAATTTACAAACAACTTTCGATTATAATGGACGACGCCTCGTCCTCTTGGATCTACAAGAATTGACCCATTGCCAGGGGCCGTGTTAATGAAGCTGTCTTAAGACTAGGACTTGTCTTAGGATGACATAAGGACACGTTGTAGTCCTAAGTCAGGTTAATGAAAGTCTCCTAAGATAAGATATGTCCTAAATTTGGTCCTTAAGTTAGGATATATACATAGGTGTCTTAGTATAATCCTAAAAGTTACGATGTCGCAAGTGGAAAAAATACAAAAAAATATTATGCACCACGACAAAATGTCGACTGGCATCTTAATTTACACCTGTCCGTCCGTCCGTCCGTCCGTCCGTCCGTCCGTCCGTCCGTCCGTCCGTCCGTTCGTCCGTCCGTCCGTTCGTCCGTCCGGATATAGATAAATGTCATTATGATATATCCGGCTTTCTCCTACAGTTTTTGAGCTACAGCTTTAATATATTGTAGGATATTTCTTCACATAAATAGAGGTGTGCATATCCATAGGATTTTGATTTTTTGTCAAATATTCTCAAAATGTCAGATATTTGGACTTAATCATTTTTTGGTACTAGCTGTATAAAGAGATCATGGTTTGTCCGGCTATCTCCTCCTACAGTGTTTGAACTTCAGCTTTAATATTTTTTAGTATGTTTCTACACATAATAGAGGTGTGCATGTCCACAGGATTTAGATTTTTTTTCAAATATTCTCAAAATGCCAGGTATTTGGACTTGGGTCATTTCTTATGGTCAGGCGGGCGCACTGTTTGTGTCTTACAGACAGCGCAACAATTTGAAGTTGTACTTCAACATCACTGTTTGTCAAATCTAAATTTAAGTATTTGGAACTATACTCGTGCATATGGCAGAGCAGATGGGGGCATCGTCCATATCTAGTTTTTATACGACCGCAAAAAAATTTGCGGTCGTATACTGGTATCACGTCGTCGTCGTCGTCCGAAGACATTTGGTTTCCGGACAGTAACTTTAGTATTAGTAAATAGAAATCTATGAAATTTAAACACAAGGTTTATAACCACAAAAGGAAGATTGGGATTGATTTTGGGGGTTATGGTCCCAATAGTTTAGGGGCCAAAAAGGGGTCCAAATAAGCATTTTTCTAGTTTCATGATAATAACTTGTGGAACAGTGTATGGATCTCTCTAAAATTATACCACAAGTTTTCATACCACAAATGGATGGTTAGGATTGGCTCTGCATGGGGGTTATGGCTCAAACCGTTTAGGAATTAGGGGCAAAAAAGTGAGAAAAAACAAGGGTGTCCTGGTTAATGGACAATTACTTAAGTACAAATTACAGTGTAAGGGAGGTAATTCAAACACAACTTTGAATTACCTCCCTTACACTGCTTTTAAATTATGTATTAAGAAATGTTGTATTGTCTTGAGGTGATTAGCTGTCAGTTCATTTTTAGGAGTTACTATTTTAATAATTTTAAAAATACTGATTAAGGTAAATTAAATTTAGCTATGATTATGTATGTCATTTTCTATTTTAAGACTTTTATGATGTATTTAAATGGGTTATTATGGTTGCAAACTCCATTGGAAATTTGAATTGAGATTATGACCATGTCTTGAGGGAAAGTTTTTTTTTTAAAAAGGGGGGGGGGGGGTGAAAAAAAATTGGGGGGGGGGAGGTAAAACAAAATTGGTGGGGGGGGGGGGGCAATTTTTTCTCCTCAAGATTTCAGAAATCAAAAAGAAAATTTCTTCAAATATTTTTTTTTTGAAAAAAGGGGGGGGGGGGGGGTCAATTCGCAACAGTATAGTGTATTGCACGAAAGCAAAACAATGAATATAAATTCAAATCATATAACCAATTCTTTGTTCTTTGACTACAGTTATTCTGTGTCAGAAACCTATTATGTGTCAAATGTTGAATTACAATCCAAATTCAGACCTGTATCAAGCGCGATTATTGTGTCCATTTTTGCCCCAACTGTTCAGGGTTGGACCTCTGCGGTCGTATCCAGCTGCGCTCGGCGAAGCAATTTATTTATTACTTTTTGTGGGTATTGCATTGCGACTATTATTGTGTTCTGGTACAAAAAAATGTATTTGGATGACTGTCTCGATAACATATAACAAATAACATAGAGTTTTATTTGTGGATATTAAGGAATTTACCAATTTAGTTTACATCATTGGAAAATCCTATCATTGTAACTGGACTTTACTGTTGTCTCGAACTTTGGTTTATTAATCTTATTATGGAAACTTATAGTTTACACAAGGGAAGTATGGTAAACAAATATGCAGACACCTTATGTTACGAAGTTTCCGTCTGTCATATGTCGAATGTCCTTGACCACATTTTCATGATTCAGCGACTGCTTGAAAAAAATATTATTTTTTTTGTCATGTGAATTTCTCACTTATTATGAGTAATAGGATAACTATATTTGTTATATGGGTTCCTTGCAACATCTACATGTTCGTCAGACAGGGTTCACCTGACCACGACCTCATTCTATATTGTTTCTGTACCTCCTAATCATAAGGAATCAAAAAACGAGAAAAAGAACGGAAAAAAGGATTTTAAATTGTTCAATTTTTTTTATGAAACAAACAGTGTCCTACGAAAAAAAAGTGGCTGCTAGCATCATTGGTATATAAAACGGATTGTCATCTTTTGAGAATCACGACAAGCCGTGAAAATATCGAATTCCGCTGTCAAAGGAGGTGCTTTTATATTTAACTAAGATTTTGAGATTTTTGGAACGTTTGAGTCTTTTACAGTTTTTTGGTTTTTATATCTTTATCATTAAATACGGCTGCTGGAAAAAAGTGGCTGCTATCTTGATTGGCTGCCAAAAGTGGTTGCCAGCTTGAGTCTGGTTTACATACAAGTATATACTGAAATACATTAAAATAATTTTCATTCAATTGTCTACATATTTCTAAGTGCCAATCTGCCTAAGAATCAGGCAGTGGTGAAAACATGACAAATAAAAACCCACTCAAGTGTACATTGATTTAAGCTCAAAGTGTGTAATGGTGCACGAATATAACGTTCGTTCCCTTTTCCAGTTCTGGTAATTCAAGATATAATTTGGTTGAAATGCACTAGAAATTACCAATTGAGGGGAGCTAACACCGTAATTTGCTATCATTTTAACCAAAAGTTATCTAGAGATTTCAAATTACCAGGCACGCAAAAACAAAAGACCTACCATTTCTAACTCAGGGTTATGGTTACGCTATCAATCAAATTATTTTTATTCAAAATTTAACACTATAAGGTATGGGGAAAATCTGGATTCAGAATATTTTTATTTTGTCATCTGCTTGACCACAATATTTTTTTTCCATCAAATTGGGGATCAGAATATTATTTTTAGGAAAAAACCATAATCCCCCCCCCCCCCCCCCCCCCCCCTTTTGAAGGTAAATGGTCGTTCCCTTACTAGGCAAAGAAGGCAGAGCTAGACAGCGAAATAACAACTTCTGAGATGGAAGTTATAGCACTGGTCTAAGCTCCTCCCATTCTTTGCTATTCCTATGACTAGCGACACACGGCGGGACTGGAGAGTGCAATAACTAAAATATCATTCAGTTAACGTACTCCTCTAAAAATAACCGAAGTTAACTCACTCGAAGATCAAAGGAAAAATTACCATTCATGTTATAATACTTTCTATTTCTGTTTGTTGTCTGATATTTATTTTTTACCTATTACCTATTCACTGTTTTTACTATCAATGTTCCGCCCGAGCATTCCAAAGAAAATGAAAATATAAGTATGAAAACGTTAAAAATGGAAACTGAACAGGAGCGGATCAAATTTTGATTTGGTAAGACCGGCTTTTCCTAGATATCTTATAATTTCTGACAGACTAAGTCACTAAACTGCCAATAATTATATAATAAGTCGAGCAGATTATTTTTCAGATTGGCTGTCTGACCGAATGTGTGGCACACTCTTTAAGAATTTCTATATTACGCGCCCTTGTCAATGATTATGACCAATATCTTTGTTGTACATATCGATCTCCGTTCGAATATATCTATCTGAACAGTTATAAAGTTTTAAAAACGGAAAATGCTAACGGGTTAGTATTCTCACTTCTCAAACAGCTCAGACCGTTCCACATATATCCCTTTTGACATTCTGAGTCAGGTTTTCTGATTTGGCCGCCCACAGGGTCCTGTAAAATACGAAGGATTTTCTATTCCAGGAATTATATACTACGTCACCTCGAACCGGTGCATTTTACGCCGACTGGACCATTCCGTACATCTGAAGCAGATAATAACGGAATAGTACACATATTTTCTTTTCAGAATCCGTTAATTATAATCTCACATAGACCTCTAAATTGTTGCAATAAAGAAGCTCATCATTTCTATTGCATTCAAGTGAAATCCTAGCCATTAATTGTTATTGCAGTGTAGGAACAACAATAATTTTTAATGCAAAAATCAGGACCAAAAATGTATTTTCAAAAAATTCCCCAAGTCCTAACTCTATGGAGCCTTCCAAAATTAGTTGGCACTCTACTACTAGATATCATAAATATCTAAATTAATATCGATGAAATGATTTAAATTTTATTGTTTGTCGATTAAAAAAAAATATTTCCAGAAAAATCAACAAATAAAGGGCAATAAATCTAATTGACAGTGTTCGTCATGTAACTACTAGTATACTGCATATGGAGTTTAAAGGGGCATTAGCTAACATATATATGATTTTTTGTTTGTTCAATCATTAATGAAAGTGAAATAGTGAAATAATAATTCGATTTTAGCAGCCAGTTTAGTTTAATTTTGTCAAAATAAATTAAGAAACATCGCTGATGAATTAATCACTTGCAAGTGAAAAATTCGACCTCATTGAATCCGTATCCATATTCATTTGACCTTCAATTTAACCCCTTAGCAAGAGATTTGTTACGCATGTATTATGCGTGTTCAGCCATTAAAAGGAAAAGAATGTCAACATTGAAAATGAAATAAATGTGAACCATTTTGTTGACTGATTCGATTCTAAAAAAATCATTCTTATACAGGTAAAAACGATGTTTAACTTATTTTTTTAACCTATAACATGAAATCAAACAGACCTAGAAAAATCCAATTGCACGTGGTCGCAATCTATTTGTATTTATGTTTATGTTTATATCGGGTTATGTGACCGTCAATAGTCTTCGTAGGTCATCTCGATGGTTAATAAGTTGGCGTCTAGACTAAAATACACACAAAATGCTGATATATATTATCGAGTCTATGCATTGTTAATTGTTTATTTCAGACTTATTGTAATTTGGATAAACGTTTTAGTATGTTATAAAACAAATATGTAAATTTGAGTCAAATCGGTGAACATGAATTTGACAGCTAATGCCCATTTAAATCTCCCAACAAAAAACATAGAAGACTTAAACCTGAGCTACATAAACCCCACCAAACCAGTGATGACCTCAGGTGCTCCAGAAGGGCTAGCACACCCTGCTCAACATGTCGCACCGTCGTGCTGCTCATGTAAGTACACATTTGGTGATGAGCTAAGTTCAGTGATGTCACATTCGCGGAAAAAGGGGCGGGATTGTGGTTAATATGACGATTTGAGCATATCCATCGTCATCTTTGAAACATACCGGTATATTCCATAACGGCCAACCAACTCGCCAAGGCGTCCGTAAATTTTCGAACTGATGACTCCAACTTTACGCTGGGTTTAATAGCTTCCCTGTAAGCAGCAACCCTCTTTCGAGGAAATCATGATAGGAAACATAAGCCCCTGAATAACGTATCAACTGGGAGATGTATACTCCATATGCAGTATAGTCACATGACGAACACTGTCAATTAGAGTAATTGTCCTTTATTGATGATGTTGAATTAACAAACATTAGAACTTAGATCATTTCATCGATATATCTGCTTAGTAGATCGCAAACTGATTTGAGGAGGCCTCATGGAATAAGGAATATTTTGTAAATTTTTGGTCCTGATATTAGCCTTAAGGATGATATGGTTCCTACACTGCAAACACAATTAATAGCATAGATTCCACTTGAATGCCATTAAAAATATGATTCAGGAAAAACTCTTATCGTAATAAAGGTAAAATTCGTTTCAAAATGGTATTATTTTTTGTCATGGTCGATTAGAATCATCGATAATCTTTAATTTTGTAAACAAATAATGTTGACACGTGCAAAGTACACACTCTTGTAATTATATATGTTTATTTTAGACTGCCCTAAGGATAGCAATTATTAACAATCAACAAAATGGCAGTTTGCAGTCCAGGCCAGGATATAACCGTAGATTATCTCCGTCATATGTGTATTTCGAATTTGGAAGATGAGCAAATACTTGAATTTCTTTCTACATCATCAAGAGAGCTACAACGATTCACAAATTCTGCTGAGCTCACGAATGAAGCTACTGAAATTTTAATACATCTTGTTGCGTGTGCATCACGGGTTGAATTACAATCGTCACGTCAAAAAGTTCTAAAGCTTCTTCAAACAATGACAGAATCACCAATCTTGAACAACAGTGGAGCAAAACTACTAATAATGAACAGTAGCAGTTGTAAGAAATACCATTCATACCAATGCCTTCTCGTTGATTTTCTGTCTATACTTCAAAAATTGAACGCAACAATTCCATCGGCAATAGATACGCCACAAAAAATTGGATTGGTCACTCTCCTTCAAAAACAAATAAAAGGATACGACGATTTCAAAAATAATCAACAACTTCTAGAAGATATCGACGAACTTCAAAACTGTCTTATAAGAAAACTCACAGAAAGAGCTGAAACCGCAAGAAATCTTAACAAGAAGGAAACGATTTCAGAGGATAAGTTGAAACCACCAGACGACTTCCGGTATCTCTCGGTAATGCCCAAGGAAGACGACATGCTTTACCAAACACTTTTTCTCCGACGGAACAAAGCTAAAGGGGGATACAATGACCTAGATCACTACTTAGATGTTCAGTTTCGACTGTACAGAGAAGACTGTATTATACCTTTACGTGAGGTCTACGAGGAATTCATAACAAAAGATATAGAAAATCAAAGATTTCGTTTAGAAAGTGGACGCATCTACAGAGATGTTAGAATACAGACGGCAACAAGTACTTCATTAGACCATGGTGAAGTTTTTATTATTCAGCTGGATGACGAACATCGAAAGCGTATCCGCTGGAACAATTCAAAACGACTGATATTCGGATCGGTTTTGCTTTTGTCATTTGACCGTTTCAAATCTTTGTTATTTGCATTAGTTTCAGACTCCAAACCTGACGAAATGAGAGAGACGGGTTCATTTAAAATTAAGATTTTCAAAACAAGGACGAATCAGCAGATACCCAGAGAAACCCCAGGAATACTACTTGAAGCAACCTCTGCATATTTTGAGGCATATCACCATGTTTTAACAGCTCTTCAATCAATCAAAGAAGACACTTTACCATTTCATCAATATATTGTGTATTGCAATAGCTCAGTTGATATGCCAAACTATCTTGCTATTGACCCTGATGTAAGATTTGATTTAAGACCAATACTATCTATAAACCAGGCACAAAATGAGTTAAGTGAAAGTTCGGAAGAAGATTTAGACGATTTACTAGTGGCATTGACAAAGCATGTGCAAAAATCAGCAATAAAAGAAAAAAAGATAGAGAAACCAGATGTCGAAAAACATATGATAAAGGTGACGGATAAAAATCGATGGCCTTCTGCAGAAGAACTTGGTATGGATGAGTCACAGAGGGCAGCATATATATCTGCCCTTACAAAAGAATTTGTCCTGATACAAGGACCACCTGGCACTGGAAAAACTTACATTGGTCTGCAAATTGCCAAAACTTTACTTCACAACAAAGATAAGTGGAAAATAACACGAAGTTATGATCATGATGGGGAAAGGTTGATCCAGAAGAAACAATGTATCTTAATAGTATGCTATACAAATCACGCACTGGATCAGTTTGTTGAAGGAATCATAGGATTCATTCCAGAGAGAGAATTAAATAATGATATCCCTGCTGTTATTAGAATTGGAAACCAAAGCAAAAATCCTGCTGTTGACAAATACTCTATAAAAAATCAACGGTATAAAGTTCCCAAAAGGAGGCATGCGCACGATGTAATGGAAGCAGCTGATCGTACCAAGTATGATGTTTTAACTATTCGGGCAATTTTGAAAATAATTCAAGGCCAAAATAGTGTTCTCTTTTTCCGGCAATTAAAGCCATTCATGTTAGAACATCATGTTCTGAATTTTCAAAAGGATCCCCTTAATGACTGGTTGGACTGGATTCATGTATCTCCAAAATCTTGGTTTCATGAAGTTCAGAGGAAAAAGTCGCAGAAAAAACGTAAACGAAAACCTATCAAAACTAAAACAAGCGCAAATTCACAACAACCTGTCATTAACATAGTGACAGAAGCCGAATATCAATACAGTGAAAGGTCATTAGACGAGAATGTAGAGTTCAATTTTAATGCGAACTGGATAGGTATTGATGTCAAAACCCAGTTAAATCAGATAATGATCGACGTGCAAGACGAAACGTGTCAAGAAATTTTACAGGAAGAGGCTGAAGTTGTTTCAAGCGAGTTAAAATCAATGCTTACGGCAAATAATTTTTTGATTGAGAAAACAAAAAATTTGTGGAACCTTTCGTTGGAGAATCGATGGAAATTATACCGCCATTGGCTACGGAAATATGTGGCATACCTGAAGGAAAGGCTTCAGATAGAAGAGAATAAGTTCAAGGAAATATTTGAAGATTATAAAAAGGCAAGGGCAGAGCTTGATGAAGAAATCTTACGACAGGCATCTGTTATTGCTATGACAACAACCGGTGCTGCAAAATATCACGAGGTACTGATGAAAATTGGTCCTCAGATAACTATCATAGAAGAAGCTGCAGAGGTACCAGAAGCACATATTGTGACTGCAATAAATCCGGAATGTGAACATCTTATTTTGATTGGTGATCACAAACAATTAGAACCGAAACCAGCTGTTCGGGAATTAGCGACAAGATTTAATCTTTCGATTTCGTTGTTTGAGAGAATGCTTAATAATGGTTTAAAATACGACTGCCTGCAAAGACAGCATAGAATGAGGCCAGAAATTTCAGAATTAGTAAGACACATGTATCCTAAGCTTTATGACAATGCAAATGTTTTAGAGTACGAAAATATCAAGGGCATTCGACAAAATCTTTTCTTCATTAATCATGAGCATCAAGAACACTACAATGAAGATGGGAAAAGTTTCTCAAATGAACACGAAGCAGAATATGTGAAAGAACTTTGCACTTATCTTTTGAAGCAAGGTTACAAGCGAAATGAAATTACAATTCTTGCTGCATACACAGGTCAGATGTTTTTGATACGAAGCAAACTGCCAAGAGCTCACTTTGAAGGAATTAATATAAGCGTTTTGGACAACTACCAGGGAGAAGAGAATGAAATTATATTATTGTCCTTGGTGCGAAATAATAAAAATGGGGATATTGGTTTTTTGAGACGTGAGAATAGAATATGTGTTGCGCTATCAAGGGCTAAGAAGGGTCTATACATCATAGGTAATAGTGGAACATTAATAAAAGATTCTAAGGAATGGAGGACGGTGATACAGAAAATAAAGTCAAATAACAGAGAAGATACAAACCATGCATGCCCAAGAGCAGATTGTGGAACGTCTTTTGGCCAAGCTTTACCATTGTACTGTCGCAACCATCCAGAACATGAAGGAATTCGGGCCGAAATACCTGCAGATTTCGCTAGAGCTCCAGAAGGAGGATGCGAACTATTTTGTGGATTAAGGTTGGAATGTGGTCATGTTTGCCGTTTGAGGTGTCACCCGTACGATAAAAACCACGTGGAATATGAATGTATGAAAATGTGCCCCAACGTATGTAAAGAAAATCATAAATGTAACAAACGGTGTCATTTTCCAAAATCTTGTGAATGTGAAGTTATAATGGAAAGGACACTCCAATGTCATCACACAGCAAAGCTCATGTGCCACATTGATCCATCAGAACACCAATGCCTTGTGGAAGTGAAGCGTTCCTTATTGTGTGACCACAACGTCATCTTGAAATGCCATATAAACTATGAAACATATTTGTGCAGAGAAATTGTTACTTGTACACGAGACGAATGTGGTCATGAGTATAAACGGGTATGTCACGACATTGATTTTGAACGGAGATACAAATGTGAAATAACAGTTGACAAAACTCTTCAATGTGGGCATATAGAAATAATCAATTGTTATCAAAATAGAATTGGTTCATACTTTTCTTGCAAAAAGAAATGCCTAAAACAGTGTAACAACAATCATATTTGTAATCGTGTATGTCATTTTTCTTACGAATGTGATTGTAACGTAAAGATAAATAAAATATTACCACGGTGCGATCATAATATTCTTATTGAATGTTCGAAAGAGGTTCACCAATTAACAAGATGCACGGAACAGGTAGACTTTATTCTGGAAATATGCGGACACCATAAGAAATTATCATGCAGTGAGAAGCACAAAATTGAAACAGCTGAACCTATGAAGAGAAAGTTGTATGAAAAGCACACTAAATGTAGTGAGATAATTTCAGTAGACTCACCTCTATGTGGTCACACAATACTTGTCGAATGCTGGAAGTCATTTGAAATTAAAGAGGCCAGCAAAAATATGTTGGAATGTATATTAGACATGTGTGACCTGAAATGTTCAAAGGAAGTAGTTCTTAATTTAGAATGTGGACATCCAATAACAACAATGTGTTACAAGAAATCATCTTACGAGAAGCACTCAGCATTAATGCAAACAATGGGAAAAGCTGGAATTGAATGTGAATCTATGGTTGAACTAATTTTAGAATGTGGTCATACAACCACGGTCAAATGCTTTGAAAGGTTTCGTCACGAGGAAAACAAGAGACGCCAGTTGATCTCATCTATATTTTTTGCCAGACGTTATATTAATATTACATGTACAGCAATGGTAGATATTGAGCTTACATGTGGCCATATGGGACAAATACAGTGTTGGGAAAAGAAAAAACAGATAAGAAACAGTCTTTATAAATTTGATATCGATTGCAAGGCACTTGTTGAAATACGATTAGACCAATGTGGGCACACGAAGATGGTTGAATGTTATCAAAGGCACAACAAAGTCAAATGCTATGAAAAATCTGTCTATACGTACCCGAAATGTGGACATGAAAGGTACTTCGAATGTTTTCAACATCCAGATATGCAAAAATTGCAACTTAAAGCCGAAATTGCATTGAGAAGGCGTGGGATGGGAAGGAGGTATAATTATCGCGATCAAGTCGAATGTAAAATACCCTTATGTGAACATCTGATGGATAAGCAACTGACTTGCGGTCATACGATAACTGTTAAGTGTAGAATGGCCGACACCGCAGTTTGCAATCAAAACTGTGAACAGATTTTGATTTGCGGTCACTCTTGTACAAATACATGTACATTATGTGAAGAAAACATTACTCACAAAGAATGCATTCGCAAATGTGGTAAACGTGTGTTCTGTGGTCATAATTGCAACGGTAAGACATGTACGCAATGTAGACCGTGTGACAAGCTTTGCTCTTTTTCATGTCCTCATGATATTTGCAAGCTAAATTGTAGAGACAATTGCGTTCCTTGCAAAAAGTCATGCCCTTGGAAGTGCCCGCACTTTCAATGTTCGAAATTATGCTCAGAAGAATGTGATCGACCGCTGTGTTTTGAAGTTTGTGAAAATAAACTGACTTGTGGTCATAAATGCCCAGGGTTTTGTAGTGAGCCATGTCCGGTTTCTTGCAAGGACTGCAATGCAACAAACTTTTTTGAAGGTGATGAAGGAAAAAACACCGTCACGATTAAAGAATGCGGACACTCCTTTGGGTATATATATCTCGATAGACACATGGAAAAGACTGCTATCGACTTAACCTCAAAATGTCCAGCTTGTGGGCTAGTGTTTAATTGGCATCCACGGTATAATAAAATACTGAAAAGGAAGAAATCGTTAACAGAAGAACTTAAGGAGAACTTTCAAAAGGTAACAACAAAATATAATTACACATTTCCATTGTGTGATTCAAAATTTGTCCAGCAATTCCACAATTATATTGGGTCATTTAATACCTATGTACAAATCATCAGCTACATATCTCGAGACAGGAACAATTTTCAGATCAAATCCCTTCAAACATCTGCTGAAAACATTTTGAAGGCAATGAGAAAGACAACAAGCAAATGCCTACAGAATTGGATAGATATATCTGATGCGATATTTCGCTTATATGTAAAGTGGATGTTACAACTTGTTACAAGCAATGAAAAACTTCTTGAAAGGAAATTCAATAGTAAAAATATAACCCAAAATCAAGAAGAAAGTGATAGCGAATATTCACATGATATTCCTGATGATAATATAGATTCCTCTTCTGAATTCATAGAATTGAAGACATCACAACCTGTTATAAAACGTATTAAGGGAAACGATGGTGACACTAAATTCGAAGTTATTGATCTATCAGCAATGTTTGAAGAAAAAAACATAGCCAGTCTGAATCGCGAGTCAAATTTAATGAAAAACGGATGTGATGGAGACACTTCCACAAATCAAAACGTTAAAGAGATATCACACACGGAAGTTGAAGAATGTCTAACTGGATTGGATATTGTGAGAAGGATCGAAGACACAATGATAAGTAATCAGAAAAGTGAAGTAAAAAGATTATTTAATATTATGATACCCTTTATGAGAAATGAACCTCATTTTACAGAAGCAATGCAATGTCCACAACTTACCTCTGTTACGGTAATTGGTGTCCACGAGAAAGACTGGAAAATATGCAAGCAAGGTAAAATATAGAGAAAGTAATATAATATATTAAATAATATTACATATTTTGTTCTTACCTGGTTATTAATGAAAACCTAGAGCGGTCAATACTTATATTAGTATTGTTGCATGTTTTTTTGTACAAACAAACCCCCCTAATGCAAAATCTCAGTGACAATCTGAAGACGATGTGAACTAATTGCATATATATGTACTGAAGGCTTATATTGCAATAGGTAATATAACTAGACCATCCGTTCTGTAAATAATTGACACAGGGCCTGCGATTTATGTGTGTCTTATATGTCACTTGGCGTTGATCAAAATTGCAGATGAGTTGTAAACACAACATGCATTTTATTGCTTAAGGCAGATGTTGATGAACACTGAGTAAAGGCTTCTAGAGTTGATCCATTGAAATTAAGTGTGTCGCTGAACCCGTTATGGCACGGTTCAGTGGTAACCGTTATTGTTTTTCAGTTACATGACCAGGTGATAGGATACAGCTTACACCACCTTCTCTTCATTATTCAGTGATCAACTACAAGCTGAAGTTATAGGTTGAGTTTCTAAGTGACCACGAGGAGCAGATGACGCACATCATGTTGTCTTTTGAGTACACCGTCAGTATAATAAGGGTCACGTGAACTTTTGCTCATTTGCATGCTTTTTGAATAACGTTATATAATTTCTTGAAGCATTAATTCACGTTCAGTCTTTTACCAAAAAAAAAAGATGTCAACAAATATTTCTATGATACTCCGTTGAATTAAAAAAGATACACTAGTAATGGATATTTTTTGAACGAGACAGAAACCGACACTTTCAAAGATTTACCAAAAATTTTAAAAAGAAGATGTGGTATGATTGCCAATGAGACAACTCTCTACAAGAGACCAAATGATACAGACGTTAACAACTATAGGTCACCGTACGGCCTTCAACAATGAGCAAAGCCCATACCGCATAGTCAGCTATAAAAAGCCCCGAAATGACAAATGTAAAACAGTTCAAACGAGAAAACTAACGGCCTAATTTATATACAAAATAATGAACGAAAAACAAATATGTAACACAGCAACAAACGAAAACCACTGAATTACAGGCGACTGACTTGGGACAGGCACATACAAAATGTGGCGGGGTTAAACTCGTTTGAAGGCTCCAACCCTCCCCTAACCTGGAACAGTGGTGTAACAGTACAATATAAATGGCTTAACTCATCGGATGGATATAAATAGATATACATCTAACAAAAACACAGAGTGGACGTGGACGGGTACTTGTACATCCCAACAACAAAAACACACTAAGTACAGATTTGAGAGTCCTCGCAGTTACTGACAACTAGTTCAAAGCCAATAACAATTAATAAAAAATCATGCATCTTAGACTAAATTATCAATCATTACAAATCCAACACCCAATGGATTTAGTGTAAAGACGTCATAAACAGTCAGAGAAAAACATGACCTTGTGCAATGACAAGATACAGGTATCGACAGATTGTAGAGACATGAATGTGCATATGTATATAACAATAATGTTTAGTTTGATTTTAATTTAGTGATAACAAAATCAATATTAATACCAATAAAACCAATATTCAAAGATCTAATTACAGTGTTGAATTGGTAAACTTTAAGAATAAGTATATTTAAAGGATCGATAAGTTTACCCGGATCGTTTCTAGATTGCCGGGCTCGGTAAATAACATCTCCGTAAAAATGATGATATGCCATCCCGTTGAAATAAGTTTTCTACAGGTACAACCAAACTTCAAAACCAAATCTTTATATCTATGGAAGAATTTAGTAAAGGTTTTAAGTAATTTGTGGTAACGAAATAACTGACTTCATAATTTACCAGTATTACATAGATTACGTTCATTAAAATTCAAGACGTCACAACAGACACGGGCATAGCGAACGAGTTGTGATATTTAAACACCGTAAGATGGTGCCAAAGGAACATCACCATCCACAAAAGAAAAATTAACAATAGGGAACGAAAAATCGTCCCTTTTGCCGTAAATGTTAGTGCCCACACAGAGGAGTTTCACGTGTAAAACTGAAATATCTAAATCTAGGAAAGGATAGTTATTACCTTTTATATTTGATGTATTTAATGTAAGTTCCTTTGGGTAAATTTTGGCAGTATATTTAAAAATTCTTGATTATTTAACGAAAAAATATCATCAAGATAACGGTAAGTGTTGTTGAATTTATCAATTAAATGCAATTTAGACGGGTCTTTACTGAGTTTGGTCATAAACTGATTCATAATAGTACAAGAACAAGTCTGCTATTAAAGGGGCGCAATTGGTGCCCTTAGGATTACATACAACCTGTCGATAAACTTTATTGCCGAAACATACATAAATATTATTAAGGAAAAAGTAAACAGCTTCAAGACCATATTCTAAAAATAAAAAAAAAGAAAAAGAAAACAGAATAAAAGTATTAGAATTTTTATTTCTTCATGTTAAAAATTACCATAAGAAAAATATTGAAAACCGATAAAATACATGATAATAAAAATAAACAAGACAATATTGTCAGCGTGACTGCCAATGGTTGCCTTCACTTTGTATAACATAACTTGCTGTTTAATTCAATATTCAATTGCATTTTTATTGGCTTTTATTTCCCAAATCAAAACAATGTAAATCTAATTTGTTTTCATTATAGGCCATCTTACATCGACCTTGATACATCAAAATTGTTATACTTGTTATGCTGCTTCGAGCTCAAAAGTGTCTGGAGAGTCAAAAGAAGGAGTTCTTTGGAAAACACATTTCCAGCCTCTAACTGAAAACTCTGAAAGTGATAGATACCATCAAGGCAAAGGAGGAAATAAAATGGGCGCACAGCAGGGCAGAAATAAACGAAACAAATCTAATAAAAATTGGATGTCTGAAACATTAGACAAGGATACAAAACAAACAAACATTCAAGAAGTTCGAACACATGTGCAAGGCAGTAATCATCCATCAGGTAATGGAACACTTCTGGATTACATACATACAAATACAGTTGGTACTAATAGAGGAAACAGTCGCGGACGCGGGCGTGGTAGAGGCAAGAAAAACCAAAAAACATATGAGGTGGCTGGAAGTTCATTTCAAACTCGTCCAGCGGGATATCAAGGATATAATACAGATTTTAACTCTTCCGTTGGACGACCACAAAGAGGTAACAGTGCTTCCAATTTTATGCAATCTAATTTTGGGCGTTCCACAGAAAACAGAGGGACAAGTCATAATGGAATTTGGCAGAGAAATACTGTTCCTCATCATGAGCAAGTTGTTTCTCATCATGATCCAGTAGCAGGTCATAATGGAATCTGGCAGAGAAATATTGTTCCTCATCATGATCAAGTTGCAGGAACATATGGAATACATATGCAACAAAGCACGATATATAATGAACCGAATGAAAACTTCAAACCATTTAAAGGAGGATTTGGCCGTCCGAAATATGTTCCTGGTTCGTCTGATTCACATCCTGGAAGAGGAGGTCGAAGAGGCCGCGGGAGGAGAGGTAGGAGAGGCGGTAGAGGCGAAAGAAACTGACAAATTATATTTATTATTTAATGAAAGTTATATCAAAACTTACTTTAGAGTAATGTATTTCATATTTAATGGATATACTTTTAGCAGGCAAAAGTATGAGAACCCTTTTATTTTGTCCTTTAATTAATACATGTAATAGTGAAGTGATTGTGTGATGTAGCCATCTATATTTGACAGTGATTTGTAATATAGCCATATATATTTTGCATTGATTTTATATATGTAATGTAGCCATCTACATTTTGCAGTCAACTGATACCCGTTTTTTACTTTGTATACTTTAAACAGTGTTGTGTTTTACAAATATGATTTATGAGGTGTTTGTAAGAACTTACTAATTTTCGGATTTTTCGGTCATTAATGGTCTTCAACTTCATATTTGAATTGGCTTTGGGATTCTTTTTTTTTTTGGCACCACTGATACGTCATATGAGGACGAAACGCGCGTCTGGCGTACCATAATATAAGTAACTTTGATGAGTTTTTTGTACATTTTGTACGTACTACAATGTGCCCTGTTTTGCTGCCTAGCTGTTTGTGTCCCATATGAATTAGATAAAACGAAATGTTTTGAATAATATATGAAAAAGAAAACAATCGGGAAAATACTTTTTGTTTCTCTCAGACGCAGTAGTCTAGTATTGGCAAAGATCGCTAGCTTGTGCATATAGATTCGGTACCCAGCAAAAATGTTTATCAAATCTATTTAAGTGTAAATAAACAAACATACACAGTTTATTTGAATTGTTTTTTCTGCTTTTTAAGAGTTTTGACAAACAAATGTATACATATACAAGTTTTATTCTTGTTGCTTGCGTTGGTAGTTTAGGGAGCTACCATTTGATTTTTAGGGGGGGAGGGGGGGCTAGGATAAAAAATTGTGTCCTGCATTTTTTTTTAGTTGTAATCTCGGTCCTGCCTTTATATTTTTCACTTTATTCGGTCCTGCCTTTTTTTTATAAGTTTATCCTGTCTTTTTATACATAATTTGTATGCCAAGTTGCTCATCCTGCCTTTTTTTTTTGACTCAAAACTTTTGTCCTGCCTTTTTTTCAAATTTCATCCTAGCTATTAGATGTTTGTATTTTTACACGTTGATATATAGTATGAAGATGTATAAGTTTTTTGGAAAAAAAAGTGGCGTTGCATTGTAAATAAAATGTGACCGAACGAAAAATTTTAGGTTATGAAAGAGGCAGAACATACCAAGGGGTCAATTAAAAATCTACATTTCATAACCAAAACAGACAACACCGTGACATGACAAATACATTCCCATAATAAACAGCTGCGCCATGAGCGCATGATACGCCCGTCGTCTTCTGTGTGAATTTTTATGCAATAATCATAAATAGTTTCTGACATACGAAAACTCAATATCTCTAAAATGAAATTTTGAATCAAAACCAAAAAGTATACAGATCTTTAGATTAATATAACTAAGAAGTGTGTAAAATTTTAAGCAATAATCATAAATCGTTTTTGAGATACGGCGCGACATGTGAAAACCCCCCTTTTAAAAAAAAATCAATATCTCTATAAAATAAAATTTTGAATCAAAACCAAATTGTATACAGATCTTCAGATTAATATAACTAAGAAGTGTGTGAAATTTTAAGAAATAATCATAAATTGTTTTTGAAATACGGCGCGACATGTGAAAAACCCCTCCCCTTTTTTTACAAAATACTCAATAAATCAAAAATAAAATTTTGAATCATCACCAAAAAGTATACAGATCTTAAGATTGATATACCTAAGAAGTGTGTAAAGTAAAGTTTTAAGCAATAATCATAAATTGTTTTTGAGATACGGCGCGACATGTGAAAAAAAACACACATCTGTGTTAGTTACTAAGTCCCGTAACTCAAAAAGTTTTATTCTTATTTTCACCAAAAAGTATTCAGATCGTTTGACCATCATAAGAAACAACTAGGTTAAGTTTCATGAAATTTGGATAAGTCGTTCTCAAGTTACGGTGCGACATGTTTACGCCGGACAGACAGACGGACGGACGGACGGACAGACGGACTGACGACATTTGTATACCATAATACGTCACGTCAAAATTTTGACGAGCGTATAAAAACTACCCAGAAAATTAAAGACTTCGCACGAGAAAAAAATGAAGATCAATTCTGCTTTGTAAGGATAAGTAGACAATCGCTCCTGCTTAAGGTTAAGCTATAGTGTCTTCCAACAGTGGCAACATCATCAATGTAAACCCTACTGGGTTAGCGTTCGATCTATGCCTCTAAATATACATTCTCCGGAAATGTCAATTAGACAAAATTGATGACAACCTTAGAATACTATGACAGGCTATCAACTCAAACCAGTTGTTTCAAGGTCGTTTTACAAGGTTGCGACATTGTTATAGGAATACTTTTTAGCAAAGACTGTTCTGTATTTATGTATACTAATCATTTAAACGCTTAATATTTGGTATATAAAAATTACATGTCTACACAGAGTTTTAAAGATTACATGTCTACACAGAGTTTAATATACTGAAAAGATGGATGATGTTATATAATTTTGCAGTGTGACGTATTTTTGTGAGATTTACTGGTTTTAGAATATATTTTAAATTTGTGTTTTTGAATTACTCATTTTGATACTTTGGGACCTTACTCATGTTTATACTTGGGGACCTTACTCATGTTGATACTTGGGGACCTTACTCATGTTGATACTTGGGATCTTCAAAAACTGTTGTCATTACTTCCAGTTTTTTCACATGTTTATTTTTTGTGAACAAAACAACGTGGGAACTCCCGTTATACTATCAGTGCAACTCGACAGGCCATACCTAAAATTAATTTACATTTACTCATCGATGTTTTAGTCTGGGAGAACATGATGTGTTTATTAGTTGTAATTGGCTTTGAACTAGCGTTCAGTAACTGATATTATTCCTATACCTTTGCTTTCGGTATATGTACTGTTACATGACTGTCCCAGGTTAGATGGAGGGTTGAGCGTTCACAAACATGTTTAACTCCGCCACATTCTTTATGTGCCTATCCAAAGCCAGGAGTAGTTCAGTGAGTATCGTAGGTTTATGTCGGTTATATTTATTTTTCCTAAATCGTATTGTTAAAGATTAGACCGTTATTTTCTCGTTTGAACTGATTTATTGATTGTCATATCGGAGTCTTTTATAGCTTAATATACGGTATGATAAAATTTTTATTCTAAAAATGCATAATTAAAATTCAATTATCTTTTATTTGTTTTCTATAACTATTAGCATTTACTTTTCTTTAGTGCTGGTTCCACATGCACGATTAGAATGATACATTTTTTCTCATTGGTTCAGTGAATTTCTTATTTTACCTGGCTTGTCCAGTTCAATTGGTACCCAATGGTAATTTCTACTCAGTAAAGTTTTCCTTTCAAATGACTGTATTCGTATGGTCATTATTCTAATCAGTTTTCTCTGAACAGGTCATAATTTCTATTATAAAGTTAACGCGTCGATCGACTTAAATTTATAATTCTTGAAATACCCGCCCACCCAGCCCTATTTAAAAAAAAAAAAAAAAATTCTCCCGTATGTTTAGCGGGTTTTTTGAAAGATAGGTTTTGTACCTTCTGTTTGAGTAAGTTACATGTACTTGTATTGTGACTGTCATTTGTTTTTGTATTGTGTGTATTGTGTATAGTTTATGTTGTGTAGACCTGTAAGTTTTTGAGACGCTGATCCAAGCCTGATAAATGTTTTTACATACTTTTCTTTTGTTGAGAGAGTTAAAAGATTGAAGAGTAATTGGGTTTGCTCATTGTCAAATATTTTTTCGGCAATGGAGTTTACTGTTTATTAAATTTGTTGACTACATGGCACGTCCTCACATCTATCTACATGACGCTGTCATAACGTAATTAAGCACAGATTTTTCTACTTGCAGGAATATATCTGTATCAGATTGTACTATTCCGTGGTTGATATATTATATTCGCGCAAACATTACTGTTGCTCTGCATTAGACAAGAGAGAAATGATTCTTACGTGGAAATAGCAAATCACGAATCGAATGAAACAGACAACACCATGGCTAAAAAAGAAAAGACATAAACAGCAATAAACTACACAGCAACACGAACTTACCAATATGATTTAAATTCAGATCTATCGTACATGTAACTCGCTTATTCTTATGAGATTTTGCGAGATTTACCGTGATACATCTCGTTTATCGTTTTGCGTCTACACTTTGAAGAGTAAGTTTATAACAGTTCTGATTCAAAAAACAGTTTATATCGTAACAATACACATTATCTGCTTCTAAAATGACTAGACATTTTATTTCTTGGTCATCGTAAGAATCCGGCACATATAGTTTTTGTTGTTGTTATTTTGATGGTTGTCTCAGATCAACCGTTTAAAATCGTTCCGTGCAAACTAGGATGGGCTTACAAAAATCATTAAAGTGCCACATTCGGTCGATTTCAACGATGTCTTCCCGAATGTTCAAATTAAGAATAATATAATACTAAATATATTTTAACTTTATAGAAGATTAAGTAGACTCCAATAAGACAAAAACTAAATTGAACAAATATATAAAGGACAAATTTAGAATTATATCAAGGATAAAATTAAAATAAAAGATGTGTTTAGAGAAAAACATAAATGTAAGAATAATTTGACATAATACAAAATTTCAGAGACTTGTTCTTAAATTGACAGGATTAAGACTGCTAATAAATATATTCATATAAAAAATCTGATCATAGAATTGTTCAGTCAAGTTTTCAATTCCAGAGACAAAAATTGGAAAAAGGTTTTTTGGAAAATCATAAACATATATTCAGAATGTGCAGCTATGTGAATTCTATAGATGTCTGGTCTAACATTACCACTATAAAAACAATTATCCCCGGCTGTGTCAAACCAAAGACTTAAAAGTTTGTATTTGCTGCTTCTCCGCTAAGCACGCAGCATTAAGGAGTTATAGCAAAGACGGGTCGGCTCGGAGTCAGAATAATGTGTCTGTTTAGGGTGTCATGACTTCCCTGTGGACTGTTATCTTGTGATCTAGCATATACGAAAATCTGACTCAGTGTGTCAGTCTAGTTAAAAGTATGCTTCATATTCATCGAACATCAATATGTTCTCGTCCTGAATATGCATTTAACCTGCCACTGGACGTTTCACATCCATCCTTTTATCTTTTTTAATAACATGATACATGTTTAGAGCAAACTGGTGACATTGCTTGGCCACATATACATCTTTTCCCTAAGTGAGAATGTAGGTGTGTCGCCTTGCCCTCTAATTATCTAAATTTTGTAAATTATAATTATAAGTTACAAAATAGCTTATGCTTATATAACATTGTGATTGTATATTTTTTTTCTCTTTCATATCAGTTTCCAAACCTCAATCTGAATGCTCATAACTACGTCAAAAAGAAGAAAAAAAATGCTTATTAATATTTTGATAAAAACCTAAAAGAAATAATTCTCCGAAAAGTGGTTGTCTCCTCTCCTCTTCATATTTGTTTTACAAATATACTTTACATTGCAGACATCTTTTATAACTTATATTATTTAAAACAAAATTGTATTTTAACAGATGATTAATTCAACAGTTTATTGGTACATTTATAAAATGTCATCTTCTAGTATCATCATGCAATAATTTTAATTTGATATTGCAAAACAAACAACAATAATAAAATTGTTTATTTTAAGAACATTTAACATGATAAAATAATGTGGGACAATCAAAA